GTTCTGTTTTAGATGTCGGCGATGTGGACGCTATAGGTGGTTCTGTTTTGAATGTCGGCGATGTGGACGCTATAGGTGGTTCTGTTTTAGATGTCGGCGATGTCGACGCTATAGGTGGTTCTGTTTTAGATGTCAGCGATGTCGACGCTATAGGTGGTTCTGTTTTAGATGTCGGCGATGTCGACGCTACAGGTGGTTCTGTTTTAGATGTCGGCGATGTCGACGCTATAGGTGGTTCTGTTTTAGATGTCGGCAATGTCGACGCTATAGGTGGTTCTGTTTTAGATGTCGGCGATGTGGACGCTATAGGTGGTTCTGTTTTAGATGTCGGCGATGTGGACGCTATAGGTGGTTCTGTTTTAGATGTCGGCGATGTGGACGCTATAGGTGGCTCTGTTTTAGATGTCGGCGATGTCGACGCTATAGGTGGTTCTGTTTTAGATGTCGGCGATGTCGACGCTATAGGTGGTTCTGTTTTAGATGTCGGCGATGTCGACGCTATAGGTGGTTCTGTTTTAGATGTCGGCGATGTCGACGCTATAGGTGGTTCTGTTTTAGATGTCGGCGATGTCGACGCTATAGGTGGTTCTGTTTTAGATGTCGGCGATGTGGACGCTATAGGTGGTTCTGTTTTAGATGTCGGCGATGTCGACGCTATAGGTGGCTCTGTTTTAGATGTCGGCGATGTCGACGCTATAGGTGGCTCTGTTTTAGATGTCGGCGATGTCGACGCTATAGGTGGTTCTGTTTTAGATGTCGGCGATGTGGACGCTATAGGTGGTTCTGTTTTGAATGTCGGCGATGTGGACGCTATAGGTGGTTCTGTTTTAGATGTCGGCGATGTCGACGCTATAGGTGGTTCTGTTTTAGATGTCAGCGATGTCGACGCTATAGGTGGTTCTGTTTTAGATGTCGGCGATGTCGACGCTACAGGTGGTTCTGTTTTAGATGTCGGCGATGTCGACGCTATAGGTGGTTCTGTTTTAGATGTCGGCAATGTCGACGCTATAGGTGGTTCTGTTTTAGATGTCGGCGATGTGGACGCTATAGGTGGTTCTGTTTTAGATGTCGGCGATGTCGACGCTATAGGTGGTTCTGTTTTAGATGTCGGCGATGTGGACGCTATAGGTGGCTCTGTTTTAGATGTCGGCGATGTCGACGCTATAGGTGGTTCTGTTTTAGATGTCGGCGATGTCGACGCTATAGGTGGTTCTGTTTTAGATGTCGGCGATGTCGACGCTATAGGTGGTTCTGTTTTAGATGTCGGCGATGTCGACGCTATAGGTGGTTCTGTTTTAGCAGTCGGCAATGTCGACGCTATAGGTGGTTCTGTTTTAGATGTCGGCGATGTGGACGCTATAGGTGGTTCTGTTTTAGATGTCGGCGATGTCGACGCTATAGGTGGTTCTGTTTTAGATGTCGGCGATGTGGACGCTATAGGTGGTTCTGTTTTAGATGTCGGCGATGTCGACGCTATAGGTGGTTCTGTTTTAGATGTCGGCGATGTGGACGCTATAGGTGGCTCTGTTTTAGATGTCGGCGATGTCGACGCTATAGGTGGTTCTGTTTTAGATGTCGGCGATGTCGACGCTATAGGTGGTTCTGTTTTAGATGTCGGCGATGTCGACGCTATAGGTGGTTCTGTTTTAGATGTCGGCGATGTCGACGCTATAGGTGGTTCTGTTTTAGATGTCGGCGATGTCGACGCTATAGGTGGTTCTGTTTTAGATGTCGGCGATGTGGACGCTATAGGTGGTTCTGTTTTAGATGTCGGCGATGTCGACGCTATAGGTGGTTCTGTTTTAGATGTCGGCGATGTCGACGCTATAGGTGGTTCTGTTTTAGATGTCGGCGATGTCGACGCTATAGGTGGTTCTGTTTTAGATGTCGGCGATGTGGACGCTATAGGTGGTTCTGTTTTAGATGTCGGCGATGTGGACGCTATAGGTGGTTCTGTTTTAGATGTCGGCGATGTCGACGCTATAGGTGGTTCTGTTTTAGATGTCGGCGATGTCGACGCTACAGGTGGTTCTGTTTTAGATGTCGGCGATGTCGACGCTACAGGTGGTTCTGTTTTAGATGTCGGCGATGTCGACGCTACAGGTGGTTCTGTTTTAGATGTCGGCGATGTGGACGCTATAGGTGGTTCTGTTTTAGCAGTCGGCGATGTCGACGCTATAGGTGGTTCTGTTTTAGATGTCGGCGATGTGGACGCTATAGGTGGTTCTGTTTTAGATGTCGGCGATGTCGACGCTATAGGTGGCTCTGTTTTAGATGTCGGCGATGTCGACGCTATAGATGGTTCTGTTTTAGATGTCGGCGATGTCGACGCTATAGGTGGTTCTGTTTTAGATGTCGGCGATGTCGACGCTATAGGTGGTTCTGTTTTAGATGTCGGCGATGTGGACGCTATAGGTGGTTCTGTTTTAGATGTCGGCGATGTCGACGCTATAGGTGGTTCTGTTTTAGATGTCGGCGATGTCGACGCTACAGGTGGTTCTGTTTTAGATGTCGGCGATGTCGACGCTACAGGTGGTTCTGTTTTAGATGTCGGCGATGTCGACGCTATAGGTGGTTCTGTTTTAGCAGTCGGCGATGTCGACGCTATAGGTGGTTCTGTTTTAGATGTCGGCGATGTGGACGCTATAGGTGGTTCTGTTTTAGATGTCGGCGATGTCGACGCTATAGGTGGCTCTGTTTTAGATGTCGGCGATGTGGACGCTATAGGTGGTTTTGTTTTAGATGTCGGCGATGTCGACGCTATGGGTGGTTCTGTTTTAGATGTCGGCGATGTGGACGCTATAGGTGGCTCTGTTTTAGATGTCGGCGATGTCGACGCTATAGGTGGTTCTGTTTTAGATGTCGGCGATGTCGACGCTATAGGTGGTTCTGTTTTAGATGTCGGCGATGTCGACGCTATAGGTGGTTCTGTTTTAGATGTCGGCGATGTCGACGCTATAGGTGGTTCTGTTTTAGATGTCGGCGATGTCGACGCTATAGGTGGTTCTGTTTTAGATGTCGGCGATGTGGACGCTATAGGTGGTTCTGTTTTAGATGTCGGCGATGTCGACGCTATAGGTGGTTCTGTTTTAGATGTCGGCGATGTCGACGCTATAGGTGGTTCTGTTTTAGATGTCGGCGATGTCGACGCTATAGGTGGTTCTGTTTTAGATGTCGGCGATGTGGACGCTATAGGTGGTTCTGTTTTAGATGTCGGCGATGTCGACGCTATAGGTGGTTCTGTTTTAGATGTCGGCGATGTCGACGCTATAGGTGGTTCTGTTTTAGATGTCGGCGATGTCGACGCTACAGGTGGTTCTGTTTTAGATGTCGGCGATGTCGACGCTACAGGTGGTTCTGTTTTAGATGTCGGCGATGTCGACGCTACAGGTGGTTCTGTTTTAGATGTCGGCGATGTCGACGCTATAGGTGGTTCTGTTTTAGCAGTCGGCGATGTCGACGCTATAGGTGGTTCTGTTTTAGATGTCGGCGATGTGGACGCAATAGGTGGTTCTGTTTTAGATGTCGGCGATGTCGACGCTATAGGTGGCTCTGTTTTAGATGTCGGCGATGTCGACGCTATAGATGGTTCTGTTTTAGATGTCGGCGATGTCGACGCTATAGGTGGTTCTGTTTTAGATGTCGGCGATGTCGACGCTATAGGTGGTTCTGTTTTAGATGTCGGCGATGTCGACGCTATAGGTGGTTCTGTTTTAGATGTCGGCGATGTGGACGCTATAGGTGGTTCTGTTTTAGATGTCGGCGATGTGGACGCTATAGGTGGTTCTGTTTTAGATGTCGGCGATGTCGACGCTATAGGTGGTTCTGTTTTAGATGTCGGCGATGTCGACGCTACAGGTGGTTCTGTTTTAGATGTCGGCGATGTCGACGCTACAGGTGGTTCTGTTTTAGCAGTCGGCGATGTCGACGCTACAGGTGGTTCTGTTTTAGATGTCGGCGATGTCGACGCTACAGGTGGTTCTGTTTTAGCAGTCGGCGATGTCGACGCTATAGGTGGTTCTGTTTTAGATGTCGGCGATGTGGACGCTATAGGTGGTTCTGTTTTAGATGTCGGCGATGTCGACGCTATAGGTGGCTCTGTTTTAGATGTCGGCGATGTGGACGCTATAGGTGGTTTTGTTTTAGATGTCGGCGATGTCGACGCTATGGGTGGTTCTGTTTTAGATGTCGGCGATGTGGACGCTATAGGTGGTTCTGTTTTAGCTGTCGGCGATGTCGACGCTATAGGTGGTTCTGTTTTAGATGTCGGCGATGTCGACGCTATAGGTGGTTTTGTTTTAGATGTCGGCGATGTCGACGCTATGGGTGGTTCTGTTTTAGATGTCGGCGATGTGGACGCTATAGGTGGTTCTGTTTTAGATGTCGGCGATGTCGACGCTATAGGTGGTTCTGTTTTAGATGTCGGCGATGTCGACGCTATAGGTGGTTCTGTTTTAGATGTCGGCGATGTCGACGCTATAGGTGGTTCTGTTTTAGATGTCGGCGATGTCGACGCTATAGGTGGTTTTGTTTTAGATGTCGGCGATGTCGACGCTATGGGTGGTTCTGTTTTAGATGTCGGCGATGTGGACGCTATAGGTGGTTCTGTTTTAGCTGTCGGCGATGTCGACGCTATAGGTGGTTCTGTTTTAGATGTCGGCGATGTCGACGCTATAGGTGGTTCTGTTTTAGCTGTCGGCGATGTCGACGCTATAGGTGGTTCTGTTTTAGATGTCGGCGATGTCGACGCTATAGGTGGTTCTGTTTTAGATGTCGGCGATGTCGACGCTATAGGTGGTTCTGTTTTAGATGTCGGCGATGTCGACGCTATAGGTGGTTCTGTTTTAGATGTCGGCGATGTCGACGCTATAGGTGGTTCTGTTTCAGATGTCGGCGATGTGGACGCTATAGGTGGTTCTGTTTTAGATGTCGGCGATGTCGACGCTATAGGTGGTTCTGTTTTAGATGTCGGCGATGTCGACGCTATAGGTGGTTCTGTTTTAGATGTCGGCGATGTCGACGCTATAGGTGGTTCTGTTTTAGATGTCGGCGATGTGGACGCTACAGGTTCTGTTTTAGATGTCGACGACAGCGACGATGATGGTTTTACAACGGTGGGAGTTGTTGTTGACACTGTGCGAGTCATCGTTGGCGATGGCACGATGGTGGGAGTTGGTTTTGTCGCTGAAGAAGTCGTCTTCTCTTCCTCCTTGCTTCCTGTAATTTTCTCGGAGGTTACTTGAACTCAACTCTCTGACCAAACATTAGGATAAACTATTTTTAATTAGGCTGTACTAATTGAAGTAAACGTCCAAACGAATTTGGCGAATATTTAATACTCAAATACTCATAAGGAAGAGCGTATGCTCGATTGCCATAACACGGAAGGGCCTAGAAATTCTCAATCATTCATTTGTTAGTGCAGCTAGATGAATTTGAAGAGCTGGAGTTTTCTTCGCATCAAATAGAATTGGATACACCTTTGCTGCAAAGGATATATTCATACTGCTGTTGGGATGCGCTTTCGGAAAAATCAAAAGCCCTAGTAGAATAGATACACGGCGCCCTAAAATATCAACACCATAGGTTGCTGACCACTATCTCTAGAGTTAGGGTTGCCGAGGCTGCTGGGTGCCACTGCCTCAAAGAGCGCATAACACTCAGAAGTTACTATGAGGTCCTACAGATTGACAAAGCCGGCACCACCAACCATGGCAACACTGGCCATAGTTGCCGGCAAACTACGATCGTTCTCAAAGGCAGTGCCTCGGCAAATTGACAACATGGGGTATTCGTAGTTTTTGACTCTCCGGGATGAGCTGAATCTAAAATTGTAGCAACTATGAAGACTTTAATAAGTTGCTTTCCTGGGACGTGGAGGCTGCTGCTTGGGGGAGAAGCGAAAGTCGGCCCATGCTCAGGGATTCGCGCCGTGCGGGCGGTCCTCATTAAAGCTCCTCCGCCTGAGCGCACTGCATAGTTTTTGATGTACCGTGCGTGCGGTCAACAATAAAAATGCCGTGCAAGCGGAAGACAGTCTACCCGTTCGATCGGCACGCAATAAAATCGACCGTGCAAGCGGCAGGCAATGCGTCCGCACGATCGGCCAGCAATCACTTGATCGTACAAGCGGCAGGCAATCTCGCCGCGCAATCGGTACGCAATAAAACCGACCGTGCAAGCGGCAGGCAATGTGTCCGTTCGATCGGGCGGCAAACATTTGCCCGTGCAAGCGGCCGACAGTGACCTCTACCTTCGGCTCATTGTTTTCACACATTGTGAGCGTAAACGGTACCTGCATGAGATACGACGCAGCGTTTAGGCTGGCTAAGCGTCGACTATCGTGTTATCAACATTTACCTTCACCGTAAAGCTGGAATGAACCTGCGTGAGGCTACAGTTATCAAGAGTGATGGTGTGGGCTTCTCTATGGAAAATTTGGGTAGTGCGGCAGGCATTAGTCCGTGTTCGCAGGATGTGAAAATGCTTAACGTACCTAAGAAAAAATGATTAAAATACCCCATATAAACCTATTCCAGCAGCAAGCGAGCGGCCGACCTTCCCCGCGCAAGCGGCGAGCATTAAAAACCGTGCGGGCGCCCCACGTTAACCGTGCTAACGGCCCTTGACGACCGTACAATCGCACACACCAACGAGCGATTGTAAGTTCGTCGCTGGCCGCCCGCACGGTGCGAGTCCCTGAGTGTTTTAGAACAAAGGGCTGCTGGAGTCAGTAATCCAATTGCCGCCGAGATGGGTGGGGTGTCTCCATCAGTCCGTACTCCACGAGCCAATCGCTCTCTAGAGGGCGGGCTTTCTCCTCCCGCCCAAACAGCACTTTTCACGTCCGCAAAGCAAGTTATCAGTATCTTATAGCTGCCAAGCATAGTTTTGGACTCAGCTCATCCAGAGGAGTCGAAAAGATAAACACACTAGAGTCGTTTGCCGAGCCGCTGCTTTCAAGCACTATTTATCTATTCTCATCGAAAGCCTAAAATTCTTTGAGCAACACCACTATTATTTGTATAATTTGACCTGTGAATTCTTCCTGATAGTTCCTTTAGACCATAACTCTAACGGCATCTACTCTTTCCTTATATTTTGTTAACATTCTCCTCATTTGGCTATCATTTCGATTATTCCAACGAAAATCCTTCTTATGCCTGCAAGGCCAAAGAATGTGAAAAGTTGGAGTGAAAATGCTGGTTGGATGAAGTCAAGCAAAAGCAGCGGATAGCAACTACTAATAAGGAGAGGATACTCAGTCGAAAGCACCAATCCAAATGTGGCATATATCATTGTGACGAGCTCGGAACGCTGATTTCAAACTTGCAAAATCAGCTGCGGAGCGCCTCTGGGCAACGAGTTATGGTTGTTTTTGTGGAGAAAATTTGAAGTCGAGGGAAGAAAAAGTTATACGCAGGAGTTATGGTTGTTTTTGTGGAGAAAATTTGAAGTCGAGGGAAGAAAAAGTTATACGCAGGAGTCTTTAGTTGGGCTCGAACGGGGCAGTGATGTCTGTCAGATTACTCTGAAAGAAAGAAAAATGTCTGTCTGCTATACCCACACTTAAAACGAGTATCTGCGAAATATACGTGTTGTAACAATCAATTTTATTCTCTTTTTTCTTTACCCATTCAATTTTTGACTCTTGAAACGGTCATAGCTCCTCACCCAGAGGCGCTACGCAGATATGGAGGACAGATTTAAAATCAGCGCTCCGAGCAGGTCACGATGATATATGTCTCATCTGGATTGGTGTTTTCGACTAAGTATCCTCTCCTTGTAAGTTCAGAACGAGTCTCCAGTACGAGTTTAGTTCAAATAAACTAACCTATTTCTTCTATCCGTTCAGCAACACTCTGATCTTTATCTATGATCATGTTTTTTATGTCCTCCTCGTCGATTTGAAAGGTTTCAGCCACTACCGTTGCATTCACAGTATTCGACACTAGTGTTGTTTTTCTGTCAAGTCCGCTATCTTTCATCATTTGAACAAACTTCGTCGTTTCGGAATCGTTCGCGCTGCAACAATCGTTTTTGTATCTAGCTTGTTTTTTATCTTCTATTGTGCCCGGAAATGTTTACTTGTTTCCAAACTGATTAATTTCTTATCCAATGATAATGAGTAAACGTACGAGTACGTGAATTTGCATGGAATATAATGCATCAGTATGTCCTTAGTTCCTTTCTTGTTCAGAAACGTCTCTATCGCACTGAAAAAAAGGTCTAATTAATCGTATGGTGACTTATCATTCCATAGATTCTAACAGCTTGTTGATCAAAAGGCCTTGAAAAAAAGAGAAGAACTTGTGCGTCACAATAAAATTTAGTGTTCTGAACCCTTTTGACAAAAATACATAGTTTAAAAAGTGTTGGCTAATCACCACACGAACTAACTGTCTCTATACTTCAGGACTCACCCAATTTGATTGAAGCTTGAACCGTTTTGATGCGTAGCTTTGATGTTTTGTACTTCGTGTGCGGCTTCGACGGCTTTTAGCGGACCAATTTGTAGTACTTTGTCACCATAGAGAATGAAGCTATATTTCTGCTCAAGCTTAGTCTTTGCAAGCTGCTCAATCGCTTTCTTCGTGTTTTCTACATTCTGTAAAGCATTGTGCTAAACAAACCACACGATTTGAGTATAGTCAAACAAACAAGATGAAGAATTTTTCAATCACACAATATCATAATCAAGAAATCTTTTTCTTGATCGAATGCAATGAGCGTCCAACTCACTGGTAGAATAACTGGCAGAGCTAGTCATAATTAGGGCCCGCCACGAGGTGGCAGATGTCAAGCTGAAAATCGTTTGGGGAAAATTACAAGGGGAAAATCGTGATCACACTTCAAAATTACGTACCCGTTAACAAGTTGCTACACGATTGATGTGCAAAAACACGATCTTGCTCGCGCGTCAGTATCGAATTCAATTTTTTTTTCATTCAATAGTGACTGAAGGAAGAGGCTCGACAAATCCTCGACCTAAATGCTATCCGGGACCGAAGTTCTGATCCCAAAAATCCACCCCAGAGAGCGCGAAAACGGCGAAAATCAGCATTTCCAAGGCCCTTAATTTTGAATTTGGACGAGTGGAACAGTTCAAGGTGGAGACGCCGAGTCGTCGCAGGAACTATCGTTGTGACATTGCGGCATGCACCCTCGGCGGTGAGATCGCGGGTTCGTTCAAGAGAGTGAGAATGGCTTGTGGAAGCAGCTTGGCACGGGTAGCATGCTGCGCGCTCGGAGACTTGCTCTATTTTTAGTGCGGTGTACGCAAAGTATTATACCATATCAAAATGGACATGTTTAGTTTTGCCGACGACTGCCTCTAACTGCCACGTTTGCCGCGCGCACATATTATGTGACTCCGAGTTTGATGTATAAACGGATGAGAGCTAGGAGCATAATAAAAAGTATTGGGAATTATGTGACTGAAGGTAGTGGGCAGGCTCTTTTTTGAAAAATTACCACTAATCAGACGGGAAAAATTACACATTTTTGGATGGAGGACTTATGTCACTGGAAGGACGTGGTCCAGGGCTCGGCACGAGCTGGCACCAGGGAAATTTCAAAACGAAGTCCCGTTTGATATTGAAAATTTTGTACGAAGTCCCTTTTGACCTATTTTGAAAACCCGCATCATTTTTATATTATTATAAAAAAATGTAGTAGTGTTTTCATGCATTTCTGATTTCATGAAAGAACTTTTCACACCTTTCTGAGCTTTTAATTGGACGAATCACATCTTGAGAAGCAGAAAAAGCCGATTTTTCGACTGCGGAGCGGACCGAATGGTTTTCAAATTGCTATAAAACGCTGAAAAGAGAACATTATGAAACTGTTTCTTCTCCGTATGTAATCTTTTACAGTGTAGATACGTTCTATATGAAAAAGTATGAAAACTTATGTGAGCAAAGTGTCGGTGCCAGCACAGCTGGCACCCAGCTGGCACGGTGCCAGCTAATTCAGAAAAAAGTTGGGCACAGCTTTCGTTCACATAAGTTTTCATAAATTTTTGGCCCGTAGTTCCGGTCCACAAACGCGCATGCACACACCAAATTTGATGTCATACTATTGCGTTTTGGCTGAAAACAACGCCTTAGTTTGTTGATGGACAGCTTGCCAATGGCATGCCGGCGGCATGCCGGCGGCATTTTTGCGGCAGTTCTCCGCCTCGGCCCCTGTAGAAACGATATCCCCTTTGATTTCCGCCCTAAAAACGATATCTAGCCTGACCCGGTGCCAGCTGTGCTGAGCCCTGACGTGGTCTCACACTGACATCTGCAACAACATGGCAGCTTCACTCATTACAGACATTGCAAATTTGTATCAGCTTTTTGCGAGGTGTGGAGAATATCGGTGACATATAGTCCTCCAGCCACTCTTTGCAACACACAGTAGGGATTTGGTTCCAAATCCGCGTGTGTACGCGCAAAGAGTTGCAGCAAAGTGTGAAACGTGAGTAAAAAGCTGCCCAACTTTTTTTCAAGCTAAGGAGGCATAGGTCCACTTAATGCATTTTACGGTGGCAAGACTTTCAGTTCACAAGTCCTCACAATTACTGCATAAGTCTGTCCTACACCTAAGTTCACTATTATATTTAGTGGCACTTTGGTTAGGAACTTTTTTTGCTGAAACCCAAATTACGAGGCCAGGCCCTTAAAGGCACCGTCCACCCAGATCTTCGACTTCTACCTTTTTGTAGTTTCAGGGCCTTCTCAGGTCCCTGATTCCGAATATGAAGTCGAGAATGTACGTAAACCCCGACAATTCCCACTCCGGAGAACTCACAGGCCGGCTTCCTGAAACGGTGATTGGATGAGCGCGCACAAATGGGCGGGCATGGATGGGGGTCCTCGTGCAACTTCGCTATTCCGAAGCGGCAGTTTGCGCCGCGACTTGGGCATTGGATTGATAAAGGGCCCTATTGTGATATGCCGCCAAAAGCTCATCACCCTCAACTTTAGGTGGACGGTGCCTTTAAAGGCAGTGCACAGACAAGGTTAGGGGGGGGGGGGGGAAGGGATTTAGTGCCATGCGAGATAGGGCTCCCTCGGGCACGCCTTCGCGCGCAAGTCTGAGGCCATAACGTTCGACCAGAAGCACGAATTACGGTCGGAAAATTGGGAAACTTACGCCCCGCGGATCGGGACTGTTCACCCGTGGATATCCTGTTCTGTGGCAGAATACGCATGCCGCCACAGCTGATTTGTAGGATCCCGCAGCGACTATGCGTCTCAGCTTTGGTGGGATGGTGTTCCACTCGTCTAAATTCAAGCTGCAAATCTGTGGGAAACGCCTATTTTCGCCGTTTTCACGCTTTCCAATGTGAATTTTTAAAGTCAACGCGACTGATACCAGGCAAGCAATATTGCTGGAAACTGAGTTTCTGCTCGAACTGCCTTTGAGGAGGGAAGCGGCCCTGACTGAACGACTCATGCGACTGAGGCGTCTGGGAAATCGTGCCTTTGCCGCTTTTGACGGCAAAGGCAGAATCGTCCCGGTCCATTTGCCATTTTCGTGCCAATCCGTGGTCATAATTTACGAAATCAAGCACTTAGTATACCCTACTAGCTGGCTTACCCGGCTCCGCCGTATCCGGACCAAACTTGGCACAGATACACTTCGGGCCCCGGCGGGTGTCACAGTCCACTTTTCGTTATCGATCGATGTCGATTTTACCGATTTTTATCGATTTTTTTGCAGAGTTCACCTACAGGGCTAGGAGTTGGCACAGGGGGGGGGGGGAAGTGAGCATGGGGATTCCGAATACAATATTAGTTTTCAGAATTATCGATTACTTTTATTGATTTTATCGATTTTTTGTAAATTTTGACATGCGAGGCTGGGATTTTGCACAGGGGGGTAATCGAGCATGCTGATTACGAACACAATATTAGTTTTCAGGATCGTCCATTACTTTTATCGATTTTATCGATTTTTTGAAAATTTGAGCTAGGGGGCTGGAATTTGGCACAGGGGTGTAATAGAGCATGCTGATCACCCCCCTTGGGGATGATCAGCATGCTTGATTACCCCCCTGTGCCAACTCCCAGCCCCCTAGCTCAAACTTTGCAAAAAAAATCGATAAAATCGATAAAAGTAATCGATAATCCTGAAAACCAATATTGTATTCGTAATCTGCATGCTCGATTACCCCCTGTGCAAACTCCCAGCCCCGCAGGTGAACTCAGCAAAAAAATCGATAAAAATCGATAAAATCGATATCGATCGATGACGAAAAGTAGCCTATGACACCCACCGGGGCCCGAAGTGTATGTGTGCCAAGTTTGGTCCGGATCGGTTCAGAAATGGAATTTTCTATTCGGAACATACGTACAGACAGACATACATACAGACAGACAGACATACATACAGACAGACATACATACAAACAGACATTCAGCTTTATATATATGATTCAATAAAATTAGAGGCTGGAAGGCGACCGCTCGCGCCTGCGACGCATCTGCATCTCTTTCGCGAACGTGCTCTCTGACCATTCTCGTCCCTATTAGGCCTCGAAGTCCCGCCTTCCAGCCGCCTTCACATTAAAGGGACCCCAAAAATCAAAAATGTCGAATTTCGCTCAAACTCGTATAGAGTTATAGGGTTATTCGATGCTGATGTCGAATATCATATCGATTCCATGCGATAGCGTCGTTTTGCGGGGGTTACAGTGGGTGTACGGTAGGGGGTCAAAGTCACAAAATTCTCTGAAACTCGGTGCAGGGGGGTTATTTGACATGCTGAACACGAATACGATATTCATTCGTTACGGTAGCTCCTCATTCCAGGGTTACGGTGGGTATAAGGTAGGGGGTCTGAGGATTCACACGACCATGCTTTCCACACAGGATCACCGCCGCTGCGCGGCCATCCTGCGGCGGCTTTTGCCTACGCAAAGCAGGGGGAGGAAATTTGACGTGCGTGACCTGTTAAAACAAGTCAGTATCAGGGCGGCGCTAGAGACCGCCCGTGCTAAAAGACCGTCTTCCACAAAATTCGCTGAAACTTGGTACAGGGTGGTTATTTGACATGCTGAACACGAATATGGTATTCACTCGTCAATGTCTTAGATTTTAAGCCTTGAACTCGATTCAGCGGTAGTATTGTAATGTATACCCACCGTAACTTCGAAATGAGGCACCACCGTAACTGGTAAACATCATAAGATCAGCATGTCAAATAAACCCCTCTATACGAAGTTTCGGGGAAATCGTGATTTTGATGCCTTATTGTATACCCACCGTAACCCCGGAATGAGGAGCTACCGTAACGATTGAATATCGTATTCGTGTTCAGCATGTCAAATAACGGCCTTGCACCGAATTTCAGAGAATTTTGTGATTTTGACCCCCTACCGTATACCCACCGTAACCCCCGGTAAATGGCGCTATCGCACGGAACCGATATGATTTGACACCAGCGGATCGAATAATCTTACTATACTGACTTTGAGCGAAATCCGAGATTTTTAATTTTTGGGGTCGGTATACTGGAGTAGCGTCATCAGAAAGATCAAAGAATCACAATTCCTAGAGAAATCTAGCAATTTAGCACCATAATTTCACAAGTACAAGACTCACTTGCTTTTCTAAACTCAATCAGCCTGAAAATACCGAAAAGTTGCGACGAAAGACCATTTACCGCGCTGCTGCTTGTCTAGAACAAATGTATGGGAGAACGACCATTTCGCGAGGTATAGTTGTGCGGACGAGTTGCTTGCTTGAAAAGAAAAGGTGCGTACTGTACTCGTGAGGTTAGGATACATGTAAAACTGATAACTGGTGTGTTGCTTTTTATATGTCAATAGCACAGTTCGATGCTTTAACATAATACTCGTGAGAGAAAAGGCTCATCAATCAAACTTCTCTTTCCTTTTCATACAATATTCTAGAATTTATAAAAACTGTCTTTCCCACCTTCCGAAGGCTACAGTTCTTGTCGTCATTCGCTTCTAGAACTGAATGCAATCGTGGTGTTGGTGATGGGTCCTCATCTCCCAGGAACATCGAGAAATACATCACTCTAGGGTCTGGAATGACAACATGGTTCCCATAATTCTTCTAACAAGTGTTAGTTTCAATATCGGCGGTATTTCTAGTTTTTACTATTAGGCCCGTACGCACTAACATTTTTGCGGCGAGGGGAGCGGCGTCCCCCGTTATGAAGGGACCGCGTGCGGACGCCGCTGCAGCTTCTTCATCATTGGGGACGCCGCTCCCCTCGCCGCAGGGATATTAGTGCATGCGACCCTTAGTTTGGGAGGTAATTGCACCAAGGTCCCGCTATGCACAGCGCAGTCGAGCTGCATGCATTTGACGATGCAAAAAGTGCGTCTTCTACTCGTTATATTAGCGTAATAGGAAAAAATTAAGCTTTTTTTTAGTCTCAGCAAAAATGTTGTTTGTTTTTGGGCAATACAGCCGTTAAGAACAGACATTCACGTATTCATTCAAATTAGTCCTAAACTTGCTGCAAGATCAAATGACTCCTAACTTTAATTTGGGTTTATTACCTGGTAATTGAGTGAGATAGGTTTGTACTGATCGAACGTTTTTGAGAAAAGCGTGATTTTTGAATTACTTTTTTCGAATTTCCGTATATTGTGATAGAATCACTTTACTTTGCAATACCACAGTACGAAAAAATACTAAAACGGAAAATATCGTGCGGCAGAGACAAGCATGATTTAAATTTGGACTGTACATATAGAATGTTACTCGCAAAAATATTATGTAACATTTATACTCAACGCCCAGAAAATTAAGATAGCATTCATTCTGAGACTGGCAAGAGTGTTTTGCATGCTTTGTCAAGACAAGCATGACGCGTAGCTAACAAGTTCATACTAATGATCCTTCTCAATGCTGAGCAGAATTTGTTGAAAGGAGTATATGCGTGTTTGTACAATGTCTGCAAAGCGTACTTGAGTCTCCTATATAGTTTCAGGCTGATGATTTTTACGTTGCGCCAACGAAGTCAATTAACAGAAATGAAGTTTTCACGTCATTTTTACTTAACACTATGCTTTCACTCCAAGCCTTTTTACAAAGCGTATTTAACATTGGCGCTAAAAGTGATAATCAAATTACTTATGGTGTCATTTGTAATTCTCGAGTTTTTTGCGGGCCCACCCCTAGAATCTTGGAAAAGAGGGCAGACGTGGCTGATGCCACGCCCTCGAAAAAAATTTTTTACAAGGCTAATTTAAATTTTTAAAAAATTTAAAAAATTATTTTAATTATTTACAAAAATAAACAAGTCATTTGCACATTTTTATAGGTAAGTTTCAAAAATTTCGCGACCCATCCTCCGGGAGGGGGGGGGGAAGGGACGCCCCCTCCTTCGGTCCGCCACTGGTATGTGAGGAGGTCTGCACACTATGCGCGGCGACGGAGGGCACCCTTTTTACTCACTGCTCGATAACCTTTTTTTAAACGTAGCAACTGTAGAGATGTGTACCATAACTAATATTAGAATGCAAAAGTACTTTCCGTCTTACAGGTGTAAGCGCGAAAAAATTACAGCAAGTACATATATGAGTGTTACTATACAGGGTGTCCCAAAAAAATGTATCGAACGTTTGATCGTTAATATCTCTCTTCCCAAGAAGTCTTTTGCCTTGCTTCAAATACCGTTTTGTAGAGCTAGCTTCAACTTAAATTTGCATTGTAGAACGAATCACCCATATCGCTTCATTAATGTAGGATTACGGTAGAAACTTGAAACATATGGTGTCAATGTGGAAAAAGCTGCCGTTTCAAAATTTTTCAAAAAATGGTAAAAACTTGTGGAATAGGGTTTTTGTGGACGCTGAGTTTAATACTCAACTATTCACAAGATTACGAAGCTTTCTAAACGGTGTAATCGCACTTTTTAGGAACATTGAAAAAATGGCCGCTACCTCTTACCTGGCATAACTCTTCAATGAAGCATCATAATAAGTTGGGAACTTTATAGTTATAATTAGCAACTCTAATTAGCCTAGTGTAAAAGTTTTCAGGCTGTTTTGTTTCCTTTCTAAGGCAAAATATGGCCTTTCATTGCTCAAAACCCTCTTTGAGGTTTCTACCGTAATCCTACAGTAATGAAGAGAAATGAGTGATTCGTTCTATAATGCAAATCTAAGTTGAAGCCAGCTCTACAGATCGGTACCTGAAGCAAGAGAAAAGACTTCTTTAGAAGAGAGATATTAACGATCAAACGTTCGATACATTTTTTGGGACACCCTGTATATCTTCTATGCAGTGGCGGTCCCAAGATTTCGGACCGGGGGGGGGGGGGGCGGCAAAAAATTTTTTCAATTGAAGGTGTTAGCCACGCACTCCGAAAAAATTTTTGGGGGGCTTCTCAAAATTTTTGCGGATCCCCAACCCCTAAAATCTGGAAAAAGAAACGCCCTCGAAAAAAAATTTTTATAAGGCCAATTTGAATTTTTGAAAAATTTAAAAGATTATTTTAATTACTTACAAAGAAAAACAAGTCGTTTGCACATTTTTATAACCCATATAGGTAAGTTTCAAAAATTTCGCGACCCATTCTCGTGGGGGGGGGGCACCCCCCCCCTCTCACCCCCGCTCGTCCGCCACTGCTTCAGTGTGATGGGCAACTGGGAAGCTCGCAGGAGTTCTTCAAAAAAGATAGAATTCTTGGCGTCTCAAATGCTCACTGATTGCGGCTTCAACTTTTGCGTGGATAAAAGGTTTAGGAAACCTTTGGTAGTCATATCGCATGGCGTTCCAAACTCGTTTTTCTGAATTCACATGCCTTGGTAGCATATTTTACGGACATTATTTTTGCATCACCCAATACTTATCCAACCAAATTAAAAGGGACAAGGAAATGAAAAGAAATTTTTGAAAATGAGCCGGTGCTCTCATTGGTAACACTTTATATAATGCGCATGTGTGTGGCATTACGCATGTTAAAGGCAGCGGCCTCGGCAGAATGTCAACTTTGGAATATTCATCGTTCTCGGTTCCCTTGGATGAGCGTCCAAGACTGTGCTCCAATATATCAATAACCCATTTTTCCAGACGTGAAAATTGCTATTTGGGCGGACGGCGTACGCCTGCCTTCTAGAGCGCGATTGGCTCGTGAGTGGAGACACCGTATCTACCGTACCCAGGAGCCAATCGAGCTTCAGAGGGAAGGCATATGCGGTCCGCCCAAATAGCAGTCTTACGTCTGGAAAACGGGTTATTGATAGCTTTTAAAGCTGCAAGTCTTGAACTTAGCTCATCCAAGGGAACCGAGAATGATGAATATCCCAAAGTTATGTCATTCTGCCAAGTCGCTGCCTTCAAGTTTTAAAGACTCGACGACAATTTTAGTTTACCAGAAAAAAAGTGCTAGCTACGCAGAAATAAGTATATTCAATTGCTCAGTCGTCTATCCAAGGTCTTGTGCAAGGATTCGAAAACAAAACTCACTATTTTCAGTTTTCTTTGATGCAAATGCGACGGTTAAAATCACGCTGAGAGCAGCACCGAATATGAGTACCAACAGAAACAGTCCATTCCATGACAGCTTGGCTTAAATCAAAAGATAAGAATTCGCTGAGATTTGCCTAGCATATTCTAAGAATTCTTCTCAGTAGATTGCCCGCAAATTTCGTCCGTTTTTACCTTTCACCATAATTCCCACTTTTATTGATTTTTATAGAGTAAAGCTCTACAAAGTGGTGTCCAAACATCCGCACAAAGTGGTTCCAATTTGAGTTCAAGATCAAAATTTGGAAACTTTCGCAACTCAAAAAAATTAGAACTTTGCTCAGAAAATTTCTAGAGACCTGTGACTTGCTTGCGTACAAATACTATACAGCATTCATATGCACACCTCCTGTTTTTTTTCAAGGGCTAAAAAGTGAGTAACAGAAAAGGCCAAAATACCAAAATGTCGCTCTTCTCAGGTTTTTAACGCTATTCTTCCTAAAGACTACTTCCTTTAGAAGGATAAACGATAAATTGGGGTTATTCTGAAGCATACCTTCGATAGTCTAGAGCAGGGTTCGGCGTGAGGTGGCTTTCTCAATTTTTCACGAAGTCCCTGTAGACTTCGGCAGAAAAATACGACCACTTATGACGCGATCGTGGATGGATCAGAACGAATAACGAGAAAATAATGGAACAAAACATAAAAAGCAACTTTGAACAGAAGATAAAAACTAAAGATGTTCGTTTTCTCCGAATTGGCGGCATGCTGTGTCCAGCGCGCATTTTTGCGTTTGGAGCAGGCTTTCCGCCGCCATACAAAATGTTTGGAGGGCTGTAACTAGGCGAGGAAGAGGGGTTTAGGGAGATTCAAAAACCCAGTTGTAGGGGTTTTGATGTAGAACAAGTTTATGTTGAACATGTGAGAAAATTATGTGAAGGAATGAAAATATATGACTTTTTCTTTTAACAGCCACCTCAGGTGGCTGTCCAGGTGGCTGGAAAGCCACCTAACTCCGAAAAAAGTTTGCCACGCCTTCAGTTCACATAATTTTCTCATATTTTTTTTGCACATAGTCTTAGCTCCCTCTTGCCCATCTACACACCGATTTTGGTGTCATTTCATTTTCTCTTTGCTGTAAACAAGTCTTTTGTATATTTCGAGGCAGTCTGAATTCGCGCGCTTAACCGGCGAACATGTTGAAACAACAAACAATCGAAAAAAATTTAGGTTTTTGCGATTGGGAGCAATGACAATTGGCGTTTTTATAGAAGGTGGGTGGCATAAGGGCAGAACTGTGTGGGGGGGGGGGGCTGGGACCCGCTCAAACGATATCCCCCCTGGTTTTCAATCCAAAACGATATACAGCTTGCCCCGTAAGCTACCTGTGCCGAGCCCTGGTCTAGAGACAAGGCGTCAAAAGTGAAGATTGTTTGAACATCTGCCCTCACAAAAAGTGAAGGTTGTCCTTAGAAGATCAGAGAAGAAGAAAAGATGCAAAACAGATAAAAGCAAAAGAAACTGCTGAACCGGATAGAAACGCTGCAATGAGGTTTGAAATCTTTCATTTGGCGGCTTTTAAAGGTGCAAGGTTTTCGCTCCAGGACCAGGAATTCGCAAACACGGGGGAAAACGAGGAAAAGCTAATTTCTCTTTTGTGATTGTTTCAAAAAAAAGACATGTTGGAAGTAGTGGTTATCAAGAAGAAGATAAACAAGAAGGCTATTGGTACAAAATACGCAAAGTTTCTTTTTTCTAAGTCGAAATGCACGTCAAAGCCAAATTTAGTTTTTGATGCGTCCTTCAAATTTTTACCCCGCACTGACGTTCCTGTTTCCTGCGACAATGTCTGGAATGTTGCGCTTATTATTCTAAACAACAGTCGTTCAAGCTGGAAAAAGAATCCACTGAGACAGAACAAGTTAAAGAAGACCGCACTTTTAACGACTTTTCGCAAAAATTCCACCAAATCGAAGAGAGAAGGACTGGGTGGTTGTCTGCATTATGAACAGAAGCAAGATCTATAGATGGCACGAAAAAACCGCGTGAAAAGAGTTAGACTAGTAGAAAAACAAGAGATTTTTGAAAACAAGGTTTTTGCCGGATTTCTCGATCAAATCAAAAAACATGGTTTTGGGACGTTGCCAGCGTGAAAATAGGGATCAAGAGCTTCAAAATGATAAATAGCTTGCTAAAGTCGAAACAGCGAAGAAAAGGGTACCAGAGCCAAATGCCGCGCGCCCCGCGTTTGGAGTAGCGAGGTAGCGCGCAGCGCGCGGAGACGCAGACTAGCAGCGGAACCAGACCAGAGCCGATGTGGCATTTGGCTCTGGTCGTAGATCTCTGCGGAGTCTCAACGAAACCCTGCATTCTGATCGTCATGACACGACGAGGAGAACTGACAACGTTCCAAGATTTGAAAATCACTCAATAACAGGATAGACCAGCGTTTTCGTGCGCGACTCTCTGCGCAAGATTTAAGCGCAGTTTCTCGTTTTTATTTAACTCCAACAGCTTTCCTAAACTTCTGAAATTCGATTTTGGTCAAATAAGTGATTAACTGAGAAATGTTGTCTTGAATTCTGGCGAAAATTTCACAGAAAACATCTTTTCAACGTAGAAAAGGCTATGAAAACGCAAATTCTCGGTTTTGCTGAGATAACCTAGGAAAATTATTCCCTATATTTGCTTCATTAACATTTCGATATAGTTTGGATAATAACATCCGGGGCGAAGCCCCGAATGACTTCTGTTTTTTACAGGTGAAGGTTGTGTCCCCTCATAGCCCTTGAAGTGAAGGTTACCAGAGTAGCACCAGGTGCTAAAGCATAAGCCTTCAGCATCTGAAGGCCTATGCTTTAGCACCATTCGAATGGTAGTCCAATAGCATTGCTTTGAAAATGCCATATTTCGTTTTCTCGATTTAGGCCTACCTCGATTAGCCCAGGAAAAAATACCGCATGTGTGTGTATGAATGTTTGATGAAGTACATGCGTGAACAAATCAGAGATCTCTCAGGATTTTTCAGGTGCAGTTCTTATTTTCTTTGCGCTTCTGAAATTCCAAAGATTTTGATTTCAGCCTGTTTGGAACGAGCTTTTGCGGATATAGTGATTTTAAGAGTCAAGAAAGGCGGGATTGGGGTGAAAAGTGAAAAGGAGGCATGTCGGTATCATCTCTCTGTAGGTTCTGTGATATATGATCAGTATATACATTACATATCTATAGGGTCGCCCCGAAAGTAACTTCGCTTTTTTCAAACAAACGTGACATCCTAAGGGTGCCTTCATACCGCGCCGGCAGCCGCCGCTAGCAGCCCGTAGCAGCCGCTAGCAGCCCGTAGCAGCCGCCAGCAGCCGCCAGCAGCCCGTAGCAGCCGCCAGCAGCCGCCAGCAGCCCATAGAAGCCCGTAGCAGCTCGTAGCCGCCGCTGGCCGCTTTTGTTATAATCATCAGTACTTGAGAATCTTAGTGCCCCTGGCTACTCTTTTCATTTTCCAAGCTTTTCCTTCTGTTGCCAGCAGTGTGTAGTTCGATTCACATATAATATTGTGTCCATTTCATTACCTTGACGCCGTTTGGTTCATCCTTTGAACCATAGTTCGCAGAAGTTTCTTTCCTTTGTGATTCCCTCTGACTTCTTTGGATGCCTCCATTTTCTGCAGATGTGCAATTTGTTTACTTTTTGAGTATTTTGCTTCAATCTTCTTGTTAGAGGTTCTTCTGACTTTGACAATCGCTCGCAATCGTTATAGACAACATGGATTGAAAAAGTGAAATGTAGGCACTGACAGGAAGATGCAAAGTGCGGCAACAGAACAATGGATCAAATGTAATGGGTGAAATCAAGCTCACATTCGCGGCAACAGAAGAAAAAGCGTACGATTTGAAAAGCGTAGGTAAAAGCACTTAAAGTGATAAGATTCTGGTAATTTCGCTCCGGATCAAAAGCGGCAGCGGCGGCTACGGGCTGCTACGGGCTGCTGGCGGCTGCTGGCGGCTGCTACGGGCTGCTACGGGCGCGGTATGAAGGCACCCTAAGGACAAAGATTTGATGAAAATCTTGGCGCATTTGATGCATCTTTCATTATTTTTCAAATGATTACCTTTTTATTACAGTCAGTAAACGACCTTCAGAAAAATACCAAAAGACCACCACCCGCGGTTTTTGCCATGGTCAAGGTTGGCTATTTTTCTATATTTTTGTTTTGATTTACCGAATAAGACCAAGAAACAGTGGTTAGAGCAAAACCATAAAGGATACAAAAACATTTCTTCATATAGCTTGCTTTCGAAAATTCTTGAACATGCTACTCGATGCTATCAAATTCCATATATAGTCAACTCAAGCCTCAGAGAACAACAAACGGCGAGCAAATCGGGAGTCATTCGAGCTTCCTTTCCTGATTCGTAGAGTCTTCGGGTAAAAATCGACATAGTTCTTGTTTTTAGAAAGTCTCAAGCTGTGCCGGAAAGTTCGAGCTTGTATTAACTCCAATTTGCTCCTTGAATTGGTGCTGGGTCACAATCCGCTTTTGGATTCTTCGTTCAATGGTTTTGCTGGGTTTGAGGGTCTGATTTCACTAAAGCGGGCATTTTTGAAGCCGAATTGGTGCCGAGCGATTCCGAGCTGTGAAAAAAGAGTAAAGTTTCCCTTTGAAACATTGTTACGTTCAACGCGTAGTAGGTATCTATCTTAGACTATGAGATCTTAGCCTTACATGAAAGTTTGAATGTTATTTGCAATTTTAAGCGAAAAAAAGAGTCTGATTTAGGTGTTCGTATAAATATGAACCGGTCAACAAACCGTTCGGCGCATTATTCATCTCCAAGATTGATACTTCATTTTGTGCTGCGTATACTTTTTGGCTGCGCTCTCTCAGATGGTACCAATAGTTTCTTACATTTTTTCTAAAGTCCGAGAAACGGCAAAATACAGTCTGCTGCAACCGGGATCAGGCCGAACCGTTTGCTATGTTCTCGCGCACGTAGCGCCAATACTTTGCGGCGCGTATGCGCGATGTTGAAAAGAGAGAAGAGATCGAAGAGAGAGCAGGCAAGCAGGCAGTCGGCGTGACGCAAAACCCTAGCGAAGCGGACTCCCGCCATGCCAACTTTGGCCTGATTGGGATTGGGGCAGACTGTGCGGTTGTTCGTATAACCATGAAACACCTTTATAACGGAGTAAGAGCAATGCATCTTTGAACTGCCTCGAAACCTCTTCTACCTTTGAGGTTTACCATATCAACCAATCTTTGCGAGCTCAATCATTGTGCGCTGTTCGTTGATAAGCACCTTCATAAGATTCGAACTACACACTAATTATTATTGCAACTTTCCATAGAATGCATTTAAGCATGGAATTCCTGAAAGGAGAAGGCAAAAGTATGTGTAACTGATCAGACCTCGCGTTTGCAGCCAAAGTTAGGTAAGGGCACTAAGGCCTAAGGCATACTTCTCTCTTCTCCGTCAAATCGCTACATCCACGCAACTTGGCACCTTGCCAGATTTGTACAGATTAGTCGTGCAGGGTCTGTGCATAGGTTTGTAGCTTCTATAAGACGGCGCAAGTGCATGAAGTCTGACCAAACTAAAGCTCACTTACGATCATTCTGAAGAGTCGCTGCGGTGCCACATCTCGCAGCAACTGAGATCGCATGAGGCATGCCTTAGGCCTTAGATCTTCACTGCTGGACTCAGCAGTTAGTATAGGACCGGTCTTGAATACGAGTATAAGAAATGAATTTGATTAGAATTATATTTGAAAAGCATTTTTTCAATGCCCGCACTTCCGGTGTGTGTAGAAAATCTTCACGTTTAAATTACAAACTCAGCGTAATTGAATGGCAGAAAGTAAAAGCAAGGTATCACCAGAAACCTTTCCTTGTAAGCACAAGCAGTACCTAAATGACTTATAGGCCTTCTATGTCATTACTTCTCTAACTCCACTATAGGCTCAAGGATGCTGTTGACCTCAAATTAGTTTTCGATCTTCATAACGCAAGCTCACTTGACTCACTTCACTTCAGTTCTGTTTATCAGATGTCAGTAGTGTAGAAAAAAAGTTTAGTTTGGGAAATCCGAGCTGCTTGTAAATAGGAAAAATATCATATGATCTTTTTCACTGTTAGCATTCTTTGACCGAGGTTTAGTGCATAACTATTACGTTGTCCAGAGATTAGTGCAGGTTTTGAATTTCAACCGCAGTAAGTCATACGCTTCTCATTAATAGGTTGCAAAATACCATTTGATAGAGCAAAGCAAACTCTACAAGAAGACGATCTTGTTTTTACAAGAGCTCTCATCCACCTCGAATTCCGAGCCAAAGACTAAAAAGATCCAACTGCTTAAGAAATCGAGAAAAATCGTAACTGTTCAAAAACATATAGTAGTTTATAAATAGCTTAAAAAAGAATATAGCTTCCCTGGTCCAAGCTAAAATTCAGAAAAACCGTTGAATCTTTTTAGTTTTTGGTTTAAAACTCGTGGTAGATCAGGGCTACTGCTAGAGCAAAAGAGCCATCTTGTAGAGCTTGCTTTGCTCTATCGAATGGTACTTTGCGACCTGTTTAAAAATGAGAAGTTTATGACTTGTTGCGGTTGAAATTCAAAGCCTGCATTAGTTGCCGGACAGCCCAATATACAATGTAAAAAAGGCGTGAGCACGCAGAGATCTCCTCACATTTTCGCAGAGCGCCGAGAAAGCCCACAGAACCGTTAGCCGTTTGCTCATTGCATCGAACTCGGTTGCCAGTACGCTCGCCTTCCTCCAAAGATTCTGATGGAAGCCAGCCTTGACCAATATTACGTCTCATTCTTGAGGTGCTGCTAAAAAATCTACTCATTGAAGCCGTAGCAAAATCTTAGCAAAATCTGCCAATGATCCTCTGAAGAGATACCCAAGTCTTAAGGGCCGGGCATACTTCACCGATTTCAGTCCCGACGCAATTTGGCAATATTTCAACTGCCCATAACTCATTGTAAGCATATTTTGAATGTACAGAAGATAAGGCATTCCATCAGTCACGCAAGTTATACACACATGCATGTGCATTTCGTTAGCTTCGAATCTGAAGACTTCTAACAAACTGCCAAATCGCGTGAAGTGTGCCCGGCCCTTTATGCAAAATGAAAGGCTAGAGCTCAACAGAAGAATGACTAGTCTGCAACGTGATAGGATATATTTGCGTTGATTGAAGAAACGATCACTTTATTATAACCGATTTGGAGTGAAGGCTCCATATAATCTAAAGAATGTAACCAGTGAATGTTTTTATATGCAAGTAAGTAGTAAAACGGAAGTAAAAATGTCAACCATACCTGTCAATGACGTTTGTTGAGGCGTCTCCACCTTTTCCAGTCGAGCCTTATCAAGCTGTGTACTTGTTTGACGTCACTTTAAATTGCCACTATCACAAAAAAGAAAGAAATGGAAAATGGAAAAAGAATTTTGGGTGTGTATCACTGACGTTTACAGCACATCAAATGTCATAGCTACCAATCTTTTGCTCTTCTAATTTGACATTGGCCCGTAGTAAAGCTGCCTCAGTCGATCTCAACTGAGAAGAACCTCATTTGAGGCTTCGACGAGTCAGCTCTACCTCAGTTGAGCCATTGATTGGTAATTCCAACCATCCACATTGATATGATTGAGTGCTTCACGTTCAAGCAGGTACACAAGTCAAAACGCGTCCGCCAATCATTCACATCTGTGGCGGCAGAGATGTGGCCGTACGTGTAAAATCATATGCATTTTTACGTTGAATCCGTCTGCATTATTAGGAGAAGAGGAGTGTATTGTAAGTTACTCAGGAGTAACTTACGGGAATTTCCTCTAAATCTCCTCTTTAGCACACTATTTCGGGAGTTCATCGCTCGGCTCACCTCCGATTACTCGGCAGGGAGGTGGACTCCCTATCGAACCTAACCGGAGGCTCACATGTCAAGTGACGTTGCATTCTTAGAGCTTGGGGAATGGGCGGTCGTCATTTCACCTGACGAAACCTTACTTATGGGCTTCAGGGGAGGTCACCTCCGATGATCGAGGTTTACTACGGGCCATTATCTTATGGGTGCAGTGTGATAGAAATGAACGTGGAGTGGCGATTGGTTCTTAGCCATATACTGTAATATCTCCTCCATGACGAAGGCGGTCGCCCAAATGGGTTGAGAGCATGCAAGGCTGACGCGCACGCAGCGCGCGGGCAATTGCCAACCACGGTTCGCGCGCACGCTCGCGTGGATGACCGCTGTCCGAGCGTGCGCGCGCCCTGTGGTTGACAATTGCCCTCGCGTCGCAGCCTTTCATGCTTTCAACCTATTTGGGCGACCGCCTTCGTCTTGGAGCAGATATTAAAGCATTTGACATTCAAAAGGGTGTTTCGCAACCATTTTGAATATCTGTGGCATACGGATCTGCGCATCTCAGTGTGTGCAAAAATTACGCGGTGAAAAATCTGAAGTTATTTTGGATTTGTCGTTGTTAAAATGAGATATAGTCGCCTCCCCGATGTACGTTGGGCGGAGCATGTGCAGACATCTGAACAAGTTGGTGAACTTGTTAACCCTCTAATGCAAGGCATTGTTTTTTACTCTCTCGTTATCAAGAATGTCACGAGAGACAGCATATATGCGTGGCAGTTTAGAAAGTACAAAAAACAATCTTTGCAGTAAAGGCTTTACAAGTCAACAGCGCGCTCAGATGTCTGCAAATGCTCCGCCCAACGTACACCGGGAAGGCGACGATAACCCTCTTTAAGAGACCATTTTGACTGCTGGTCTAGCCAGATAAAGAGTGTTACGAGCTTTGTGTTCATCTAAAGCCGAAAAGCCTCTGCTACACTTTTTCAAGGATAGCGATAAAAATATGAGGAATGTCTATCTCTGCTCTGCCAAACAGATTTGCTAAGGTGGCAGTTTGTTCAAACAGACTAACGTTCCAACACGTCTGTCGTCCTCAGAGGCCTGAACTCGATTCGAACTAAAATCTGGACACTGGGCCAGCGGATGCCTCTTTTAGTCTTGCTGGTTTCGTCGTCGTTAGTTCCTTTGCAAAGATCGCCAATGCGCAATCCTACCCTTGCAGCACCGCTAGGTGTCACGTTCAGCGGAAGTAAGTGACCATGGCAGACGACTGAGCTACACAGTGGGTGTGCAGTTGAACGTTATGGTTGCGTTTATACTGGTCCGTAAGTTCGGAAACAGTTCCAGCACAGCGCTCGAACTGTTCCCGGATTTCGGGATCAGTATGAACGCAGCTTATCTAACTTTACTATGTTGCTTGCATAAGGAAACGAAGGGTTAGAATCCCAATCAACAAGCACTCGTTCTTGTGTTCATTTATGGATTCTTGGTAGAAATCCAGAAAGCTTCAAGCGCCTTCCTAGATGAAATATCTTTTAGTTAGTATCGTACATTTGACTTTGAAGTCATTTCACCATGAACCTCGTTCCTGTGCCTACCAAGAGTTCTACCAGACTTTTTCGTCTCTTGCTTGTCAGATGATATTTTATGCCAATAGTCAGTATTGTCCTCACAAGTATACAGCGCGTTGCTGCTGAGGCATTCTATGATTTTTGGTGCACAACCCCATTAGCGCTCTTTTACTTTTCCATATGGACACACTATGCAATTATTCGGAATGCTTACTAATGCTACCTTATTCTGTAGGTGCGTTCGAGAAATACAGAAAATATAGAAGACGGAAATAATTTTGTTCGAAATGAACAAAAGAGAAGGTAAAAGTTTATTTTTTCTATTGCTGCTGTGGTCGGTGCGGTCATCGCATTAAAAAGTTGTGAAAGCGGTAATGAATAACCGCGAGGCGTGGCGTTACTATAAAGTCCTCGCCGCCATAGTCGGCACGCGCGCCGAGATGGCTTACGGTACTCCGCACCCATTTTGCAGCGGTGCGCGTGAGGCATGCGACAATCGCGCGAATGCGCCTGATAACGCTCAGAAGAAATCGCTTTTTTAGATTTCAACGAGCGGCATCGTCCGTCGCACCAAGGTGCAAAATTGAAAAGACGTTTCAATTGACTGGGAATTATCATGGATTGTAGTAGGACTACACGACACAGCTTGTATAACGAAGAATTGCGTTATTTGCCCTAACGGAAAAATCGGAGACTGTATTAAGTTTGGCATTGTCTACGAGACCGAATGTCTGGCATAGCACGTTACCTATATAGGCATACCATCGATAGTCTAGAGACAGGGCGCCAAAAGTGAAGGTTGTTTGAACACCTGACGTCATAAATAGTGAAGCTTGTTTAAAGAAGATTAGAGAAAAGAAAATGACGTGAAACAGATATAAAAAGCAAAAGAAACTGCTGAAAACCGGATAAAAACGCTGCAATGAGGTTTGAAATCTTTCATTTGGCAGCTTTTCAAAGTGCGTTTTCGCTCCAGGACCAGCAATTCGCAACACGGGGTTTTGATTTTTGATGTGTCCTTCAAATTTTTACCCCCGCGTTGACGTTCCTGTTTCCTGGGACGTTGTCTGGATTGTTGCACTTATCGTTCTGAGCAACAACCCCCCAAGCTGGAAAAAATCGCTGCGAAAGCACTAAGACAGAACAAGGCAAAGAAAAACTCACTTTTATGATTTAACGCAAAAATTCCACCAAATCGAAGAGATAAGGACTGGGTGGTTGTCTGCATTATGAACAGAAGCAAGATCTATAGATTGCATGAAAAAACCGCGGGAAAAGAGTTAAACAAGTAAAAAACAAGAGATTTTCGTAAACAAGGTTTTTGCCGGATTTCTCAACCAAATTAAAAATTGTGGTTCTGGGAGGTTGTCACCGTGAAAATAGAGATCAAGAGCTTTAAAATGATGTATAGCTTGCTAAAATTGGATTCAAAGCAGCGAAGAAAAGGGTACCAGAGCCAAATGCCCCGCGCCCCGCGTTTGGGGTAACGAGGTAGTGCGCAGCGTGCGGAAACGCAACTAACAGCGGAGACAGACCAGAGCCGACGGGGCATTTGGCTCTGGTTGTAGACCTCCACGGGGTCTCAACGAAACCCTGCAACATTATATATCATTCTGATCGTCATGACACGATGAGGAGAACTATTAACGTCCCATGTTTTGAAAATCACTCATTAACGAGATAGACCAGCGTTTTCGTGCGCGATTCTCTGCGCAAGGTTAAAGCGCAGTTCCTCGTTTTTGTTCAACTCCAATAGCTTTTCTAAACTTCTGAAACTCGATTTTGGTTAAATGAGAGGTTGATTGAGAAATTTTGTCCTAAATTCTGGCGAAAATTCCACAGAAACCTTTTTAACGTAAAAAAAGCTGTGAAAACGCAAACTGTCGGTTTCGCTGAGATAAGCTAAAGATGTTGTTCCCTATATTTGCTTCATTAACATTCGTTCCGATATAGTCAGGATAATAACATCCGGGGCGAAGCCTCGGATGACTTCTGTTTTTTTTTCATGTGAAGGTTGTGTATCATAGCCATCAAAGTGAAGGTTACAAGAGTAGGTGGCTCTATGTATCGAGGGTATGTACATAGGGAAAACTGGTCGGCAACTCAGCGTGCGTGTTGCGACGACTTCGACATCAGGTGTGTCGTCCCAGGTTATGAGTCAAGAATTTATGCTCGCAAAGCGCTTGAAGCGGCATATATTCTTTCGCGCGAACCGAGACTGAACGGGAAGAATGAACAGCTCTCCATCACAAGTGACTTGATGCCATTTTTGTCAATCACTGTCACTTATAGATATCATCTCCACTACTAAAGCTGTCCATATCGGTCAGCTATAGTCATTTACCACCAGTGGAGTTTGAACGTCGTCGTTGCGCTGTCGGTGGAGATCTTGGCATGCTGCTTGTAGTGTGATGTCTCCGCTTTTTTGCTCCTAGGGCGTCAAACTAGGCTAGTCAAGAGGAGAGATTTGATCATATAGGGTAAAAAACTAGTGTGAGACTTTCTTCTAAATCTCTAAGGAAGGCATTATTGCCGAAACGTTAGACCTAATAGTCTTAACAACCACTAAAAAGTGCGTCTTTCTTTACTTTGTTCTCTTTCAGTGCTTTCGCAACGATTTTCTCCAGCTTGGACGATACTTACTCAGAATGATGAGCGGAAGAATCCAGACAACGTCGCACGACACGAAACCACGCGGGGTGAAAATTTGAAGTGCGCATCAAAAATCAGGGCCGGTAGTAATGTGGTCGAAACTCCGAGTTTAAAGCTGCGCGTTAACTCAGAGTTAACTCTGAGTTTCGTTTTGAAACTCCGAGTTAACTGCGAGTTTCGTTCTGCTACTTGAGGATCCGCTCTAATTGTTGAGGAGCCGCCACATGCTTCATCGCAGAACGCTGCGATCAAGTCGGGTCTCGAACTTCCGTTGCTCGGCGCGATGTGCCTACTTCTAGACCGCTAGGCTAAAGAGACACTATTGCACAATTGCCGCAACTGCTTAGTGAATCCACGTAATCAAGATCTCACATGTCAAGACACGTGGAGAGGCGTTAGGCTTGCCTGTGAGGTGCCTAGCAATGGCGGCCTCAGAGCAGTTCCGAGGGGGGGGGGCGGGGCGGCAAAAAATTTTTTGATTTGCATCTCAAAATTCTGGCGGGTCTAAAGCCTTTGAAAATTTTTTTACAAGGCTAATTTGCATCTTTAAAAATTCTAATAATTATTTTGATTGTTTACAAAGATAAACGAGTTATTTGCACATTTTTATGACCCATGTAGGTAAGTTCCACCCCCCGCCGCCTTTGATCCGCTAGTGGTGCCTAGCCATAATATATCCTAAAGATTCTCAAAAAAGTAGCAGGATAAAACATGGACATAGACAGTAACCTAACAATCCGTCCCCCTTCCCTCTCACCATATTTTGATATGCTATTATACTTGATAAAATTCAAAAGTCTGTTAGTTTCCAAAATTTATCGAATGACCTAGATCTATAATTTGTAATCTTGAAATAGACCATTATTTTAGGAAAATAGACTTCAAGTAGTAAACAGTCTACAAGTCTTTCGTAAATCGACTGTTGGAATTTCAAAAGACCTCTGAATAATGTAACAAATTTCGAAAAATTTCTCTCGAGGTTTCTGTTGACACAATGAAAACGAAATAATGTAAAAAACACCCCCTGGTATCATTACTTTTTTGCTAAGAAAGTTCAACTCGACCTGAGATTTTTCCCGTTCTTCCGTATATGCCCAACGTAATCCTCATTGAAAACGGACAGCAGATCATAATTGCACTGTCAAATAAACTCAGTGGCGAATTTCTAAGCAGTTCAGTAAGTTTATTTCATCACATCTACTGCAGCCCCATCGCATAGTCTTGCAGTAAGAAGAAATAGTAAGTATCTAACAGTGGCGGACCGAAAGGGAGGCTCCCCCTCTCCCCGGGATGGGTCGCGAAATTTTTGAAATTTACTTACTGTGTTATAAAAATGTGCAAATGACTTGTTCGTTCTTGTAAATAATAAAATTATTTTTCAAAATTTCTTAAGATTCAAATTAGCCTTGTAAAAAAATTTCTTGGGGCATAGCTGCTGACAAGCCCCCTTTTCTTATAATTTAGGGGTATGGGCCAGCAAAAAATGTTAGGAAGCACCCCGAAAATTGTCACCATGCACCCTCATTTGAAAAAATTTTTGTCCCACTTCTCCCCTCCTCCCGGACGGAGATCCTGCGACCGTCACTGGTAACTAAGTATTTAGCTAAGCTTCCCCTGAAAAAAGTTCTAAGTGAGATTTTTTTTATCCACGAAACCCCTTTTTGAAAGACATTTTCAAGCGACTATGATATTCCTGATTAACGTGCGGAATTAACGAAGCCAACTTTCATGAAATCCTGTGGTTTTGGATAGTCTACAGTATCTCTTCTCCGCTAAAAACCGCTGTAGTGGAAAACGCGCAAAGTGATCGTAATCAACACACCGCGTAACGCCATTGAGCAAACCAATTTTAAATCTGTTATGGGACTTTGGCTTTCACCAAATTCCTACAGTAACCCTGCTCTATCTCTCGCTAATTAGCGCAGCGAATAACCCCGTCAGATCAAGTTTCAGTCAACTGCTGAATCTCGCCCAACTACCGTACCCCTACCGTAACCTCGCTATGTGGGCGAATGGCAAAAAATGACTATCATAGTCGTTATCAGCGTGCAAAAAACCCCGCTGAAACCAAGTTTCAGCCCATTTCGTGACTTTCGCCCAACTACCGTATCCCCACCGTAATCCCGCTCCGTGGCCCCGTAGCGAAAAACGAATGTTATATTCGTGATCAGCGTGCCAGAAAACCCCACTGTACCAAGTTTCAGCCAATTTCTTGACTTTCGCCCAATTACCGTATCCCTACCGTAACATCGCTAAATGGTCCCACAGTTCAAAATAAACATCATAATCGTGATCAGCGTGCCAAAAAACTCCACTGTGCCAAGTTTCAGGCAATTTTGTGACTTTCGTCTAACTACCGTATCTCTACCCCCCCCCCCTTAGGCCCCGGGCAGACTTCACGCGATTTGATCGTCGCGACTGAATCGCGACAAGACAACTGTTACAACATCATTCCATGCCGATTAACTTGCATTCGGCTGTGATACTTTTCCAGCCCGACATTTTTGAATGTGAAATGAAATTGAATGGAAATCTTGGCGATTAGATCGCGACGATTAAGTCGCGTGAAGTCTGACCGGGGCCTTATGTGGGCGAATGGCGAAAAATGAGCATCGGATTTGTAATCAGCGCGTCCCCCGGGACCAAAATTTTACAAAATTTTGAATTTTTGTGTTCAACGGTGCACCATGATACCCCCATCATGCTTCATGAAACTCGGAGCAAAATCTACCCCGGAGGACTTTCTTCTCCACCTCTGCGTTTACGCACTATTTCTCTTTCTCTAACCAAACTCAGAGTTAACTCCGAGTTTTGCGGGCGCCTGAAACGCGCAGCAAACTCAGAGTTAACGCGCAGCTGAGCTGCGCGTTTTGTCGCGTAGCGTCTCGCGTGGAGCAATTTACGCTACGTTTCCACACTTGACATAAAGTACGTCTTGCGGGGTATCCTGCCATATAACCCTTTCCCCAATTTGGTTTGCTTATGCAGGTGTTAATGGTCCCTGAAAGGTGCGTGTTAACTCTGAGTTAACTCTGAGTTTGAGCTGCGCGTTTCGACAGGTTTACTACCGGCCCAGATTGGCGTCGATGCGCAACGTATCTTTTCAGACGTGTTTGACATGTTCAATTCAGTTGTTGGCAAGTTTTTTTTCTTTCGGTCTCCCAACTACCGCCACAGCTAAACAGCTGCTTTTTTTTAATTGGAAAAGAAATTTGTTCTAGTTATCACCCAATTTAAGCGGCAATACTGAAGAGGAAACTGTGCGTAGGAAACTACTAAGTAAAAGTTTCAAATTTGGTGATGTGCTGACTCTGCTTTATATGAATTTTTCAAGTTTCCTGGTTTAATTCATATCTCAAAATTTTCATCTATTTTTCTGAAACAACCTTCACTTTTTATAGGGGGCAGGAACTCGAACGACTATCACTTTCTAGGCATTGTTTCGACTAGCGTAGGTACGGGTGGGGACCACCGAGCACCCGAGAGTGCCAGCTCATTCGAAGTTGGTGGCACCGCCCAGTCGGCGAGGGGGCCGTTGGCCTTCAATGTCTGCGTCTTGAAAAAGCAGACCTAAATGCGTTGCTAAATCTCGCCTTCCGCGCAAATTCCCTTAGGTTATAACACTCCCACAGCTGTAAAAATTAGGTTAGATTGCATGCCTAACTCTCTTATTTCTTCAGATATCTTCTTAAAATCCGCAAATTGGATTGCTTTGTTATATTCTATTCATGAACAAAAATCAAAAATATGCTAGCAACTATCAAATTGAATCTACTTGTCTTTGGGTGTATTCTTCTTTTTGCTCAACTCCTGCATCAGATGAGGATCTTCAATAACTTTACCCAAGTCCTGAAAATGCAAAGTGTAGATTCCAATTACACAAGATGATATTTACCGACCTTGAATGAAACATTCTGAGAGCCACGCTTAGCTGGCTTTGGCATCTCTGGTCCAGGTTTCCAGCCGATAAATGAGATCACACGAAAAGTTGCCGGATACTTCCCATTCTTAGCATACATGCTCTGCAAAGATAACAGATAACTTGTGATTCATCTTGGGTTGATGCAAAAATTTTTGCGTAATTAATAAGAAACTACTTTTCATACTCAAATCTATATTCGTGGGTTTTATGCAAAAACTAAGAGAAAGTTTGTGCTTCATGAGGCTTATCTAAACGCAGCTTTTGGTTTACCAGCCGAAAAAAGCAAGGCACTTCAACTTTCGTAAATTTAAGTCAGCTCGCAAAAAGTACTCCACTAGCCATCCCAAAAACTCTGTAGAATTTTTATATAGTCGTAGTCATGTGTCCCTGGGCAAAATGAAAATGCAACAGTAAAAAATCTGTGAAAAATTCGACTATGCAAAAAAAACCAACACTGTTTCAGCAAAAACACTTTTAACGTAAAGTAAGCAGGAGTCTAGATTCATGGTCTCAAACTGTAATTTTTAGAAAGAAAAATGCGGTGATAAGGGGGTTTTTCCTGCAGAATGAAGTTTTCACGAATTTCTTGTTTTTGCAATTTCGCGCTAGATTAAAGCCTGCCACAGTGATGTATGATACCTTATGTAATGAGAGGCTGCCAGCGGCACTCTAGTATATTTACGGCTGAACTCAGATACACAAATTCAAAGTGCCGTTCTAAAGCTTGTCTCTCCAGCGCTAGCCAATGAAAAGTTGCATTCGCATAGCCGTCGTAAAGCACAACTTCTTCCAAATACAAAAATGAACCTAGGTCTAACAATAAGATATAAAAAGTTGCTGAGTTTCATTTAAGCAGTAACTTTCGCAACAAACTATTAGGTTGTAACAAAGGTACATATGAGTGTATGATGTAGTGTGCAGTTTTTGTGAGCAAGGAAATTCGTAAGATTTTTTGAACACTCTCACTTCTTACGGCGATAAGTCATGCAGTTCACATTTTCAATAAGGTTCCAGTGCACCACTCACTAGAGCAAAGCAAGCTCTACAAGATGGTATGAAAGTTCGCACCTACTTCGACCCATCATAAGTTCGCTACAAAATCTGAGTCCTAGTGAAGGCTCAAAAAATTGCGAAAAACTTATATCTTTGTTCAAAAAAAATCTTACGGATTTCCAACTTGCTCACAAAAATTGCACATTACATCAGACACTCATATGTACCGTTCATTTCTTCCTCATTTAGAAATTGAGAAAACGAAAATTTTCATGTGTATACAAGAAAGGGGCTATGCTGTTTTCACCCATGTAATTGTACACTACAAGGCCTCAGGAGTATAATCGTAAATTTTCAGCTTTATACGAGCCCTAGTCTTCAAGAAATATTGATTTTAAGCATGGAACACCCAAGTGAGGAGAGCGGTAATTCGGTAATTTTTGGAAACTAGGGCCTGTAGAATGCTGAAAATTTACGATTATCTTCTAAGGGGTTGCAGTATACTACTCCATGAGTGGGAACAGCGCAGCTTCGGTTTTGTATATACATGAAAATTTTCGTTTTCTCGACTTCTGAATACAAAAATCCAGGAACAATACATATGAGTGTCCGAAGTAGTGTGCAATTTTTGTGAGCAAGTTGGTCGTAGGATTTTTTGGGTGGAGGACTATATGTCGCCGAATTTGGAGGAGTCCCGCGCGGATTCCCTGCAGGAACGCATGTCCGCGCATGTGAACAGGTGCGTATTGGTCGCAGATGACCGCGGGGACCGCCCTTTTTCGGCGACATATAGTCCTCCACCCGGATTTTTTGAGCGAAGGTATGAATTTTCGCGATTTTCTGAGCCTTCAGTACGACTCACATTTCCGATGCAAACTTAAAGTGGATCGAAGATGGGGCGAAGGGGTTTGCACAGTATCGTGTAGAGCTTGTATTGCTCTATCGAACGATTTTCTGTCCCCTGTTGGAAATGTGAACTGTATGACTTATCGACGTGAGAAGTTAGAGTGTCTTAAGACTTATGTTACAATCTAATAATAGATAAGTCAAGAGCCTAGCTAAGAAAGGAGCAAGACAGAAAACTATCGGAAGAACGGAGGCATCGAGGATGAGAGGAAGAAACTGCGCTGACAAGCAGATATGCTTTCAATGCCTAACAGTAAAAAAAACCACCACCTACTTCCAAAGATTCACTTATTAGACTGTGTTCATAGGAAGGCAGGATAGGAGGACAGCAACAGTTTCTTATTTCTGAATCATGATACGAAACACCCTTCTGAGTGAAGACTGAAGCATTTAGCAAAAGCTAAGGGCACTGGAACTGTTTCTGATAGCCTCACTAACGCACACTACCTCAAACGTACATCGTATAGGGGCTTCATACAAGTAAGTATCAGGTTGTCCCAAAAGTTTTGTCGGTTTTTTTCAAAAGACCATAGAACCACGCACAATAGAGACGCGAGCTTCAACATGCAACCGATGCAAATTTCCTTCTGTTTCTTAAAGTTATTTCAAACCAGAATTCTCTGTTTTTTTTTTCTGATAACTGCCAAGATTCTTCCACCGTCATTTCCATTTGTTCAAAGTTCGGCCAATTTTTAAAAATATTCCAAAGTTCCGGGGATGATTGAGTATGGTACAAATAGAGCAAATGTCAGGTTATACGGGAATTTAGATTCATCTCAGCTGCTTTTTAGCTTCAAATGATTATTCCTTCGTCTCGATTTTCGGTAAAGTCATGAAACACGTAAACAGCAAAAACATAAAAGCTTCCAAAGTTTTTTTCGAGTTGAAACTTGATGCCATTAAACATTAATTGTGCAGCAAAATCAAGTTTGATTTGCTTTGAGGAATCAGCTTTTCGGAATTTTTGATATTCCTATGCGCTGGAGGTGATCAAAAAGGCTTGGTTTTTGTTGGGTAGATGATTATCACAAATTTGATAAACGTGACCTACGTACTCTAAATGGGTGTGATATAGCCAAAGATTTACTCTACATAAGAGCTACCAGTGCTCTTCAAGTTATTGAGGGGTTTTTTTCGGATTCAGGGAAGGTTGCATTACTGTTGAGCTGCTCAAAAAGCAATGACGATAACATCGCAAAGACAGCATGGATCAGGGAGGAAATATATTAGGTTGTCCCGAAAGTTCGTTCGCACCATTTTCAAAAAATCATAACTTCCTTCCCTCACAACGATTTTGCGCAATTCAAATTTTATTAGAAAGCGTAAAGCATGTAGTTTCCAACAGTCCCCTGGTGTCTTTCCAGCATGTTCAGATTGCAGAGATAAAAATAAATGAACGAGAACATCCGAAATTCGGAATTTTTGAGCAAAAATTCTAAAAATCTGGAAACTGCGCGATAAAATCCAGAAAAGCCACTATCATAATTTTTCTTATATTTGATTACTAACTGAGTTAAGTTTCTGCTGATCGAGCTCTTCTTTCAAAAGTTATGATTTTTTGAAAAAAATACTGCAAAATTAGTTTCTTAAAAATTCTTAGGAAAGTGGTTTTTCGGAATTTTTTTTCAAAAAATCATAACTTTTGAAAGAAGAGCTCGATCAGCACAAACTTAACTTAGTTAGTAATCAAAACAAGAGGAATTGTGATAATGGCTTTTCTGGATTTTACTGCGCAGTTTCTAGATTTTTAGAATTTTTGCTCAAAAATTTCGAATTTCGGATGTTCTCGTTCTTTCATTTTTATCTCTGCAATCTGAACATGCTGGAAAGTCACCAGGGGACTATTGGAAACTACATGCTTTACGCTTTCTAATAAAATTTAAACTGCGCAAAATCGTTATGATGCAAAGAAGTTATGACTTTTTGATAATGGTGCGAACGAACTTTCGGGACAACCTAATAGCTATAAAAAAGGGGATAAAATTTTGATTCGAACGAATTTCGAACGAATTTACCTAATTCGTCTATCGATTGGTGTTTTGTGAGTTTTAGGGACCGAAAAAAACCGATAAAACTTCCGGGACAACTTATATAGGGTATCTATCTCTTATCCTATCTCTTTTCCGAAGAAGTCTTTTGCCTACCGCTAGGCAACGTTTTGTAGAGCTGGCTTCAACTTAGATTTATATTATGGAGCAAATCATCAATCGCTTTTCATGACTGTAGGATTACGGTAGAAACTTTAAGAAGGGTTGTGAGCCTTAATGGTCCTAGTCCGCCTCAGAAAGCAACCGAACAACTAGCAAATTTTATGCCAGGTCAATTGCCGCTGAAGCCGAAAAAATGTTTGCACTTTACCGCAATGCTTCCATCGTAAGTTATTCCAGGTAAACCGCAACAGCTGTTTTTACAATACTCCTTGAAGTCATTAATACACCATTTGAAAAGCTTTGCAAACTCGTAAAAAGATGAATAATAGAATCAACGAGCGTGAAAACCCTAGCACATCACTTTTCAGATGTCGGAAACTTCTTCCAAAACACAGTTACTCCGCAATGATGATGTAAGCTGAAAGTTCTTACCGTAATCTTACAGTGGTGAAGCTCCATACTGTAAATCTAACTTGAAACCAGATCTACAAAATGGTCTCTGAAGGTGGACAGAAACTTTTTGGGAAAGAGTTATTAACGATCAAGCAGTGTATACATACCCATCAGTGACGTACAGAATCGGTCGCGAAATTTTTGAAAGTCAACCTACATGAGTTATAAAAACGTGCAAATGACTTATTTATAATTGTAAATGATTAAAATATTTTTTAAAGTTTTTAAAAATTCAATTTCGCCTTATAAAAAATTTTTCCGGGGGGGGGGGTGGCGACGCCCCCTCTTTCTGAAATGTTGGGGTTAGAGGACGGAAAAAATCTTGGGAAGCACACCAAAAATCTTTTCGGAGTGGTACCTAACGCCACGCACCTCCATCACAAAAAATTTTTGCCGCTTCCCCCTTAACCCTGAACCCTTAAAGACTGAAGCCCCGCATATAGTAAACTTACTCTGTAGATAGCTTCTGCAGCAAGCAAAACGTCCTTGCGAAGTGTTGGACTCCTTGAGTGGGTGCAATGCGACTCAGCCATCAACTGCAGATCGTACATGAGAGCAAACATGCTCGGATAGCCAACCTGTATTAGGTCAGATGGAGAAGCTAACTGAGACAACGATGATGTAGTATGTAAGCCATACCTCCACCTCATCGCTGTCCAAAGTTACCATATCGAAACCGGCTCTGTTCAGCAAGCTTCCAATATCCTGCGGTTTTATAAAAGGAGAAATATGTGAACCAACCCCACCCAACCGTTCCATCTACAAAAGAAACGATGTGCTAGTGCATTCCGGGGCTTGAGATTAACTCACCTCTGCAAGTTGTAAAGAGCATCTAAGCTCGTGCAGTGTGTCTTCAGCTAACATCGCACCGATAAACGGACAATCAGGCTTCAGAATGTCGTAACAGCGGCCAAACCTAGATAAAAAGCTGTTCTACTAGCTTTACGCCTTCATAAGATTTTGTATTCGATACAAAAACTTACTCCTTACAACAGAAAATCAAACTTTTTTGAGAATTTCAATTTTATACTTGTTAAGTCCCTTAGAAAATTACGATTTCTAGTCTGTCTGAATAAGAGCAGCTGGCAGGTTGTCAGCACTCAAAAAAAGATTAGTATGCGTTTTTTGGATAATCTGGGCAAGATGATCGCACTGAATAAAACAACACTTCCTCTTTATGAAAAGTGCAAAATTGATCTCGTAGTTTGACTGAAGGCTCCAAATATCTCTTTATTTCATTCAAAAGAAGCAGAACGATGAACTAGAGCCATGCAAATCTCACCAGCGAGGCAGATCATTGATCCAGTGTCCCGAAAGCGACGACAGAAGTAAGTCGAACTGATCATTTTGGAAAGGCGTTAGCGTTTCTTCATCGCAAACCACTCGTTCGATCTGGACCTAAGAACGATCAAACTTCAGATGGCTATAAAAATTGCATCCCATGAGGCCTTACGCAAATCACCACGTATAGTAATGTATTTCATGGTGTAATTCGAACAATTGCTCACAGTCTCTATTTCTTAGTTTTTTAATACCCTCACAGTTCATTATCTCATTTATGGTCGCGCCCTCATTATGCACTATGCAGTCTCGTAATAACGGTCTATGACCATGTGGCACCAGCGTCAGCGCGAAATGGCACAGCAGAGAACACTTCTGAGCCTTGCGCCCCAGAGGCGTTCACGCACAAGTGATGTGGTGCACAACGAATTTACCTCACTGTCGTCTGCTCCATGACTCTTCTCAACCATTGTTGCACTCATGTCACATTGAATGAGCTTTCCCACATTCTCTTTGATCATGTGAGGGGCGATGTGACCTATACCACATCCTATGTCTAACGCCAATTGGTTGTATTTTGTCAAGTCAAATACCTGAAAAACTGATATTTATGGTGAGAAACACCAAGGGGATCTTCATTAGCAATGAAGAAGAAATTCAGGGACCTTATCGGCAATTCTCCATCCGATCTCCTCCTTCAGATACTGCGCGTCATCAAAGTCTTTTTGACGTGCAGCCCAGTCACGCTGGCTTCTCTTTAGTTGTCGATCGAACACCTAAACTACCTTGCATGTGAACAACAACATGGAGCAAAATGCAACAAAATAATCAGCAGTACTCACGAAAATCTGCCTGCTGAACGCTTCCTCCGCAGCTGGAGCACTTTCATTCGCAAGCAACCGAACAGCCGTAGCGCTTGTGCTCGGAAGACAACGAAGAAGTCGAGGGATAACCATGTACAGAAATTTGCCAAATCTATTGCATACGCTAGAATTTGCAAGGATATTGATCTGGCAAAAAACTCTAGATACTAGCACCACAGCTGCTATTTTAAAGTGAGTTGGTGATTCAAAGTATGGTCCTGTGTTGCTGCAAGTCAGTGTTTTCGCACTGTGAGATTTACGAAAGATATCTGATAAAAGGTGGCAGATGTGTAATCTATTTATTATGGAACCCCCACGCTTTTGGCTTCGCTTACTTATAAACATAATTTGATGTAGTGTACGAGAAAACGTTTAAGAATCGCAACACTATATTGAAAGTGTTTCATGTGAGCAAACCCTCCCAGACACATAATCACAACAACGACGTTCCGGTTGAACGATAAAGTTAAATAAATATAAAAACAATTGAGAAGTTAACAATTATCACAACTGGAATGCTGTGGAAAATCACAAGAAGGTTCACAAAATCAACAAGAACCAGTACAAGAGCAGGATAGGCCACAGCGCAGAACTATCCATTATAGATAAAAAGACTAGACTTACGAAAACCACAATCTAGGTTCAATTATCCTTATGAAGACTTTGACTTTCTTTTAAATCGCTCAATTCTTGTCAAAACGAAGTAAACTAAGATAGAAATATGATAGACATGAAGGCATGCAGATGAAAGCACAGTTGAAGGGTAGACATTCCAGCAAATTTCGATTCCAACCAAAACGGCGGCTCTAAAGTTCGAACATGTATCTCACTCAGGTAGTCTGTTTAACCGAATTGAAAAGAAAGCTACGGTAAACTCACTTTATAATAATTGATAACCAGGGCACATAAACTGGTTGCTTATTAGCAGCAGTTCCATTCGAATTCCAGAACAGAAGAAATGGTAACTGATGGTAATACCAGCTGTAGAACTGGTAATGGAGAGAACGAGCAAACGTAATACCAATCAAATTCGCTGAGAACAGCGCGAACAACGTTTCTAAGAGTAAAACTGTAGACGCTATAGACCATCAGCATGGATATAACTCACCAGCCACTCCTGTCCTTGTTCTGATACCATGAGAAAGCTCGATGAGAGATGCTCGTAGACCTCCGTGTGACCTAAAAACTGGGGAATGGAAATTATTCCGCAATTAATCTGATAGGAGGGTTTGAACTATAGGAATTTGTGAAGGATGATGTAATCATTAATATGCTACAGAACGATAAGAGTGGTATACTTACCTAAACCACATATGATACCCAAAGATTAAAAGCACTATCAGATGACAAGTAAGTAGCGCAACGTGAAGACGCGGTGAAAGGAAGACCTGGAAAATAGGCTATATAGAAAGAGGTGTCTGCTCAGTTGTCAAGATACTAAATAAAGTTAAAACAGTGCGCTACTCCATGAACGGAATGTTTATGTTATCATACCTCTTCTGGTAAAAGACGCCAGTTTACAGTCCACTTGAAAAGGAAAACGCGGCCAAGATCAAAAGATCGGCGGATGTAGGCAACAGGATCGTACATGAGGAAAGGAAGGCCAACGTAGACCTAGGATGGTATTAATGATATGTATCAAATGAGAGACAAGATGCTGCTGAGGAAAAACCAAGTAAGCTTCGACAATCGATAGCGCTCAAGTAAAAATAAGCGAAAATAAAGGTAAACACGCGGTACCTGTACTATCGCGCAACACATCAGATTAAGGATGGTCCGCCATACACCAACGTTCAACAGTAAGATGAAAAACAAAGCTGGAGCAAAGAGAAGCACGTTCATCTTGATGGATACGGCAAAACTATGAGGACAATATTACTAGAGCGCCTTTTTGAAAAAAAAAGACGATATATAGTGCAGAAATCAACTAACCTGTACAGCAGACATCCGAAGAGCCATTGTTGTGACACGAAGAAATTAGCTGCTAGATAGAAGAAGAACATGGCAACTGGATCATTAAATAATCTCAGCACAAAAATGGAATGAATCCGATATCCCGTAAAACATAAAAACGGCAGAACAAAAGGAGCAATCTAAATCCCACAAAAAAGGATGTAAAATGCTCCATACCACCGTACCTTGTTTGATTTGTAGTACAGGCGAAATACCGCCAATAAATTTAAGAGGTAGATGCCCATAAATATAAACTGTCCTGTCCGAATGTCCTTCCCAGCATTTGTAAATGAATGCAGGACACTGTAGGTGAGAAGATGACCAGCTGGATACCTAGAGAATATGTACTCATTCGTAGAGGACTCCATACAATTTGATCCCAAACTACATTCAGACTTACACAACGGGTCCAGTGTCACCTTCAATCAGTGAATAATTCCGCACACCTTTCTTCATGTAACATTCCACCTGTTGCATATATGTTGACCAGTCAATTTCTGTATCTATAACAGCAATTTTATGTAGATACATGCATGAAAGTGCAAGACTTATTTTATCTAAATCAACGCACTGCGACCTTATCAGAATCTAGCAATTATAAATGCAAAATCAAGGTTCAAACAATAATCATTTTTAGTTCTCGTCCTAGGCAACGTCGAAAGCGTTCACTCTCTATTTTTTCATTATATCTATATTGATACTTACTTCTCCGTTAATCATTGTTAACGATGATGTTACGAAAAACATTTGTCACTAGGTAATTCAGACGGATGTATGACTTGCAAGTAAAACTGAAAAACCGCAAATGTCAAGATTACCGTTTTTTCTCCTATCACATCTTCTCTATTAGAATAAAAAAACACCCACATGGAACTTTCTTTATGATGAATAATGTGCCGACAGCATCGAATACAAATAAGGTCGTTGCAACAAGGATGAATCCGGTGCTATTTACGGTAAAAACTAGTCGCAGTATGTCATCCTTCAGTGTCATCTTGGAAATTAATAGAAATTCAGATTAATCTTGTCTTGATTAGCCTGTAGAAACAACACGCAGGATTTCCTCGGACATAAAAAATAAAAAGAGCCGTAAATCTTTATTAGATTCATATGTATGCATCACAATCAGCCTGTACAGTATATGTCAAAGAATATGAGAATGCAAAAACGAAGTTGCTTTGAGAAATCAATGAGGAAAATATGCAACCGTAAGAAAGTGATGAGATAAATTATAATGGTCATTATAACATGAAGTTTACCGACGATAACGATATCGTTTGAATACAAACCACAACTGAAATACACCGTTTTGAAACTGGCACTTGTAACCATGTTTATGGCTGACTTCCCATTCACGATTCACGCACTTAAACGCAATGTCTTCATATGGAGGCCCAGCCTAAAGCAACAAATTTTTACAGACTTCGATATCATAATGAGATTTATACGCACCTTGAACTTTATGACTGCAAAATCTGGATCGTCACAAGGCGTCACAGTGAATGAGGGAGTTTGCGAAGGATCCAGAAGGTCGGGGTAGAAAATCTGCGATAAAACATTGAGCAAAAAACAAATCTTCCACAAACTTATGCTTACGTTGAATTTGTAGCCTTGAACAATCTTTGGAGGTGGGTTATCCATATCATAATGGGTCTGATTATACTTATTCCAGTCGAAACCAGTTTGAACACGATTCAAGTAAGTGGGTTTTCGCGGTCGGTATTTATCGGACCACAAATGCGTCTAAAATTTGTGAAACATGTCGGAGCAATCTTCGCGGAAAACAGATGAAAATGACACAGAAGTCCAATTTGAAAAATATACATGATCATTTTCTCGAATTAGGAGACACGTGAAAGCCGAGACTAGTATGCGCACTGAACGAACCTGTGCTTCTAACGGTTGCTCAACAGAGAAAGTTGACTCGTCCCCTCCCATGCCCTTTCTAGCCATTGCAAGCATTTCAGCTTCGAGTTTCTGGAATTGCAGTATTTGAACAAGAAACACACTAATGTAAGTAACACAAACGAAGACTGCTGCAAACTTACGGTAACACCTGTGGGTACTTTTCGGTGCTGCTTCCTTTTCTCCAGTAGATCTTTCATGTCAGCATCTTCATCCAATATTTCGATGCCTGCATTTGACAAATTAAAGGAGAAACAATTACGGCAACAACAATCGTTAAGGGAACGACCATAGGTTGTCGGTGTTGTCGATGTTGTCGGTGTTGTCGGGGTCGTTGTAGGACCTCATGATAGCCTCCACTTTTCGCGCGCTCTCTAAACTGTCTCTGACCCCGACAACACCGACAACACCGACAACCTATGGCCGTTCCCTAAGACTAAACAGGAAGAGAAGTCTTCTAGATGGTTGCAACAATTCACTTTATCTCCCAACTTTTCGAAAATAGCTGAACTCATGCATTCATAACGCAAAATTTACACGAACACGGACTGCAAAATCGGAGCCTATTACACAGCCATCCCTCATGAAGCCACCACCGACAAAGCGTATTTTAAGAAGCCAAAAAAAAAAAACACTAGGATGCGAAAGTTGTAGTGCAAGCACCGACACAAACGAGAAGGGGGGGGGGGGTGGAATGCCAAGCGATTGATGAATAAATGGTATTATATGAAGCTAACTCGGGCAAAAGATCAAACTTGTGGTAACATACATACCTGGCATAGCATTGTTGAGATCGCCGTAAATGGGACTATATCCACCACGCTCATACAGCTGCAGTGTAGCTGTTTCTAGTTGCTCGGGAGTCAAATGTCTAAAAGCATCTTCCAGAGATGTAACCAACATCAGAAAAACGACTCACTTCCACCGCATCTCCTTCTGTTCGTCATCAAGCTCTACTGCCTCAAGCTCATCAAGGTCGATTTTCCTCCGCAGTTTCTTCTCAATATCTTCTTCTTCATTATCAGATGATGAACGTTTCTGAAAATGTAAAATTTTGCTTGGATGGGTGGGACAACAAGTTACTCGGTAAACAACCTTACATATTGAGAAGAAGTGTACTTATTTTTTATACAGACAACCATGAGTTGTATTGCACCAAACATCATCACAAAAACTTATGCAGTAGATGAGCACAGAAGGTCAGTACAAAATGAAAAAAGTATGAATGCAAACTTACTTTGACAGTAGTCCGGCCTTCCAAGTCAAACTTTCCAACCTCCCGCATCTGCTCTTCGCGTATTCTGGCTAATTTCAGCTTGAGCATCTTTTGATGAAGTTCCTTCAAGCGCGTCTTAGCTATGTACACTTTCAAATGCACTAAAATATCGATAAGCTAGCTCTAGAAGCACTATATGGTTATGAAGGAAGGCAGAGAAGTGTATAAAAAGCGAGTATGTCACTTACTTAGTAAACCTTCCCAGTAAGAGATATCTGTCCCCGAGCCCCCAGCATTTACTTTGTTGACAATTGTCCTTTCCAACTGACAAAGCTCGTCAACGCTTTTTCCCTGAAATATTTCATTTCAGTACACCCCAAGTATACAACCATGTCATGAGAAAGATGTCTACATGGTTGGACTGCGCTTTCATGAAATTAATCAATACAAACTTTGCATATTGGAATGACAGCAGTAATTCTACGAGCAACAAATATTCCCTGACAACATTCATGTCTTCTTCAGTCAGAACAAATGTACTAACATGTCCACTCTATCAGCAATGTTTCGCCAACTATCCCGGTTTGCATTATTTTCACGTACAAATAGCTACGGAGTGGTGCGCTCAATGGCGGATGTGGATGTAGAAGACAATGAGCCATTCGATATGACTACCGGAGACCACGAAACGGTAACCCCATAGAGCTGCACATAACCCCTTTTCATTTAAATTATAGGCTCTCACGGGTGCAGAATCTCCAGATGACTTTGGGACCCGTGAAGAAGAAGAACAAGCGTACGAGGTCATCAACGGGATACCCATGTACCAGAAAGGTCATGTTTTGGACAATCGTTGCCAGGTACTGTTTTGCCTTGCATTTTATATTCGTAAATATCCAACCTAGATCTACGAACGGATTGGTTGGGACGATCGAGTAGGCGCAACATATTTGGCAACAGCGCCTGACGGTAAAGAGTTAGTCGTTCGCATTGGTAATGAACACATACTCATACCCCAGCTGGAAGCGTCCTTCCTTTCCAAAGTAAGTGCAATTCTTTTAAATTCAGTTATATACCAAAGATCTCTGGTCAACATGCTTTCAGGTTGAACAACAAAATCTGTGGCGCCTATTCTCACAGATACACTCCATTTGGCACCAAGAAAAGTTCTACTTTCTTGCACTATACTTCCGTTCTGGACCACAGCTCAGCCAATGCATGGCGCATTGTGGAAACAGATTCAGCCATGGAACTGCCGCACGCTTGGCGCTTGACATCCTCAAGGTTGTCCTTCCCAAGCAAAGCGCAACACGTGAGATAAGAAGGAACTCGAGATTTACTGTCCATTACAGATACTTCGAGCTATACATGGCCTTGGTTATCTGATTCGCGCTATTGATCCAGAAATGTTCCACTTCGATGCGTGCTCTCGACACCTCTTTTTAGCTGATCTATCAACGATTCGGAAGGTAAACCTCCCAAATAACAATTTCGCTAGAGATGTAAAGACTTTAGGATACTTCGAAAGTAGATGTGCAAAGGCACGAACTTATAATGCCTCACTGGTGTGGAGGACTGCTATTTGCGCCAATGACTTATCACGACGAAGGTTCTACTAGACTTCATCACTATGGTCTTTCATAGTCATGACTTCCTACAGATCCCATCTCATGTAGAGATGAACTGGAAGCATGGTTGTATCTATTCCTTTACTTTGTGAAAGGAACACTTCCATGGGAGAAAGATCGCTATGACGATGTGAAGTGGACAAAGATTCAGACCATTAATTGCGGCGAGCTATTCCAAGGACTTCCGCTTCAGTGAGTAGAAAACAGTTCACTGGAGCAACCGAAGCAAACGGTGCCCCATAGCTCTATTTCAAACCCCACAACTTTTGACCAAGAAAACGCAACTACGTGACTAAAGGATATCATTCCAAATTGACTGAGCCTCGAAATAAAAAAGAAAGGTAGTTGTGATGTAGGGGCTCGCCTGATTGAAGCTGATATTCGCCTTTCTTGGGTTTATATTTAGGAACTATATACAGAAAGTGAGTGATTAAGGTATCACGAGCTTCTCGACGTTATCACAAGTAAATCGTCTGTGGATCCTGTGTCGGAACTTGAATATGAGAAACTTCAGCAGATTACATTCGAGATTTTCCACGACATTGGTGGCATAACGGATGATGATCAAAATTTGGATTTTGAACGTGATCCAAGAGAAGATGAGATACCCAGGTGATCAGAAGGGTGAGATAAGTTAAAAGCATGTAGATGTGAATATTCAGGATTATAATGGAACGGAGAGCCTCCGATTTCAAGGAACTCGCTGAAGAGCACACACAATCTAGTTCCTCTGAAGATCAAGAAGATACGGCAATTCAATGCAAGGATGAAAGTATCTGATTACAAAAATCACGTCTCAATTACGGTTCTGTTTTGTTGCACATTTCTCTACATGTCTTCCAACAATAAACTTCAAGCGCAGCATAACACACTGTATTAAGGAAAGCCTTTAAGCATTCATTACCTTGAAAATCTTGTCCACATCCTGCTGGACTGAACCATGAATCGAAGTGCCCAATCTCCCTCTGTCATCTCTAAGCTTTCGTAATTCATCATCAACAACACAGCGAACGTCTCTCCAAAATTCGGAATGTCGATCTTTTTCTAGCGAACGATACACCTAAATGAGAGGGTGAACTGTTGCAGAAACAAAAACTGAACTCTGGGTCACCTTGATATCCTCTACTAAATCTTCATAATCGTCCTGGCTGAGTCCTTTGAGGTATTTGAGTGGATCTTCAAGCTCGAATTCATCTTTGTCTGCATCCTTTTCATCCTGATCCTCTTCACCAAACTGGATGTATCTGAAGTCAATGTTTTATGCCACGAAAGTTGTACAAAAAGAAGACCTGAATTATTATTACAACGATAGAAGTATAAGATGGAAAGAAACAACTACATAGTAGACAGAAAACAAAAAAAGTACGATGCTGATGCTGATATGTGTAAAAACAAGAAGAAGATGAACGCCCTAAGATTGGTTCACTAGTCTGTTAATACCGATGTATTCAAAGCTTTTCAGAAACAATTGCAACTTTACAAATACAACAAAATCTCATAAGCTATGGTGTGGAAACCGAATGCGTACCTTGACAGCAAGTCTATTGGTTTTGCTCGATTTTGCTCTATCCGAATCTTCGACCGCACCTAAAGAGCTCATGGATGGTGCGGATTCAATAAGGAAAAAAAGATAAAGTAAGATGAAAATAAATAATTTATAATCTTCTCTATATAAGAAAAGACTAAATCATCGTAACTTGGCTTTACCTTGGCCTGTTGTAATTGGAACTCTGCTTCCTTGCTGGTCCATTCAGCATGCGCTTTTCGGTCAGCATCACGCTGCATCATCTCCATATCCTCCCTAGCTGCTAGCCGAGCATCTCGAGTTCGCTTCAACTCTTCCATTTCACGGAGATTTCTCTCAACCCGAGCTCGAGTTCTAAATTTACCCAGGTTTAACGATCAACCTAACATTTTTAAGCTCTCATGTGGAAATACTCGTCGTCAAACACTCACTCCTTCTCGATCTTCTTCCGAGAGTAACTCGATTTTCCTTCCACCTCCAATTTCTTTTCCCATACGAATGTTTCCGTTAGATTTACATCATTGAATGGATTATTTAGGTTGGTGTAAGCCAGCTGAGGAGGCAAATAAGAGTTGTTTTCCTTCTTCTTCTTTTCTTCCTAGAAATATAAAAGAGTAAAGATGGGTATATCAACCAACCTGAGACCGGACGTACTTTTCTCAATTTCTTCGCCAACCGTCGAGCACGCTTTTCTTCCGGAGTTTCTTTCTCCTTCAGTTTCTCTTTTTCCAACCTCTTCAACCGTTTCTTCTCCTGCCGTTGCTTGTCAAGAACGGACTAAAATATGGAAAATCTGCGGAAGCACTGGGTTGAATGGAAATAACGTGCCTGAAATTTGTCATCATGTTCAGATTCGGAGCTAGAACTCGATGGTGAACTGGAATGTTTCCTATGATGTTTCTTTTTCGTACTGCGTTCTTGGCTCCTCGATCGCTTGTGGTGTTTTGACTTCTTCTCATGACGTGACATTCTAGATGATAAGAATGAGAAAAACCAGAAACTATCCTCCTTTTGTCGTAGAAAGTTAATGAAATGCTCCTCCGTAAAAGAGACGAAAACATCACTACGTCACTGTACATTTCAGATCAACTACAAATCATTTCCAAATTAAGTTCTGGATATGTAATTACTTGGCAATTGTAAACAATATAAAGAGATTTAGCAAGCGGACAAGATTGAGAAGCCAGAAGAACACAAAAAATTTTCGAACACTGTGGCAAGTGTGAGTACAGACGTCAAGCTGAATGTGGAGTGTAGTTCAAAACGTTTAAATATACGCCTCTTTTCAAAGGTCAACGGTTTCAGCGGCTACAGTTTACGGCGTTGGTGCCGCTAACATTTGTTCTTTCGGTTCGACAAACTCTAAGCATTTTCGTGTTCAAGTATGCATATATATAGAGAATCTTATCAAACAAGCTTCCGCCTATATGCTCAAAACACTTTTGCGGTGGTCTGTACGTCTGGCGATTTAGGCTGTCATGATATCCTGAGGACATCGTGCTTGGATGTTGCTAACAAAAAATGCATTTTCATTTTCATTCCGAATTTTTGAGCGCATGTGACATGTGCTTTGCTCAATGTATGGGCAATTTATCGCATGCAGAGACTGGACGCCGTTACGTCCGAATGAGAGTTCCTGCTCGAGAGAAACAGACAACGAGAGGAGCGAGTGTTTTGATCTGAGAGACAGGTGACAGCATCCGCAGTGGCGTTCTGTCTCTGCATGCATTGAATCGCCTATAAATAACTCCCAGATTCATGTGAAGGCGGGTTGCGAACCTTCCCCGATTGTTCGGATAAACTCTTTGAAGCTCCACGTACCAGCATTGTTTTCGTTCTTTCTCATCAGCTTCATCTTTATAGTCAAGGAAAGTCCCCAACCCGCCTCCACACAAATTTCCAGCCGATCATAGCTAATTGGGTATGTAGGTATGTAGATCACTAAAAGTGGGAAGACTTGTTTTCTAAGGAAGTGGGCTCGTCTCGACCTACTCACTCTGAGGAGTTTTAGATGCTCAGCCGGGTGACCTTGACGCTTCCTCGTCGATTTGCGTCCAGTTTCTCATCGCCCCTCCTTCCAAAAGGAGCCTTGGCATACATAAATGGTTTGTAAGTACATATCTAGCTGCATTTCATTACGCCTCTTCATTCTGTTTTCAGGGCAATGGGTTGAATCACAAAAGAAAAACACTTTCGACGTTACCAATCCTTTCAATGGGCAATTGTTGTACAAAACTGTGAATTGTGACGTGCCGGAAGCTAAAAAGGTTAACATCTTTTGCAGTTTATTTTGTTCACTACAGGCTTTGCGCTCATCTTTTTGTTTCGAGTGCTAATATTGATTTTGTTTTAAAAGAGATTTGCGGCGGCTTGATGTTATAGACAGCTGCTAATCCAGACTCCTAAAAACCTCTCTTCCTCTATGGTGAAGAAGCGTACGAATATAAACAGATACAAACAGATACATATACTTTCAAGAGGGGTTGCTACTTTCTAACAAGATGGAATATATGCAGATTCAGGCTTCACTAGCATCAATAGACAAAAATGCCTCCATCAAATATATGAGCATTTTTCGATTACCTCGATTCGTCAATTCGTTAATACTAGTGAACCATTAATTAAAGGTGCTAGTTTGCACCCGCCCATGGTTTCCCGCTATTTGATGGTTTTTTGAATGCAGCTTACGACTTTTAGGCTATTAGGCTGTCCCGAAAGTTTGTCGGTTTTTTCAAACCGCCATAAAACTATGCAGAATAAAGACCTTCAACATGCATTCGATGCAGCTTTTCCTTCTCTTTCTTACGGTTACGTGTCCGAGCAACAATCCTGTATGCTTTTTTTTGTTGTTACAGTTCTTCACCCGTTATTTTTATTTGCTCAAAGTTAGGCCGATTTTTAAAAATTTCATTTCAATGTTCCGAAAGTGGATAAGTATGGCCCAAATAGAACAATTCTGGGACTACAAGGTGATATTTTTAGATTCTCCTAACCTGCTGTTTTTAGTTTCAAAAAGTAATTTCTTCGAAGGTCTCGATTTTTGACAAAGTCACGAAACACGCAACTGCAGCAAAAACACAAAAGTTTTTGTAATTTCTGCGAATTGAAACTTGATTGTTAATAGACAATAATTATGCAACACAACCAAGTTTGATTTGCTTTTAAAAATTAGCTTTTTGGAATTTTCGGTAACTTTACGTAGCAGACTTAATCAAAAAGCCGCGGTTCTTCCTAAATAATTATAACGGACTTGAGACTTGATAAACGTGGCCCATGTAATCTAAAATAAACACAATGTAGCCAAAGATTTGCTCTATGTAACACTCACCAGCGCTCTTTGAAAACTTAAGGATAAAAATTTTCAAAATTAAGGAAAGATTTGGCATTAGTGCTGAACTACTCAAAAAGCCATGACGATAACATCGCAAAGACAGGGCAGTTCAGAGAGAAAATATAGCTGTAAGAAAGAAGATAAAAATCTGAATCAAATGATTCCTAGACCATCCATGAATTGGTGTTCTTTGGTTTTTAGTGAGCGATGAAAGGAACTGACAAAACTTTCGGGACATCCTAATATATTAGACTGATTGATTGATTGATTGTTTATTCAGTAAACAAATAAGACAGATGCGAAAGACAACTCAAAACACAATGATTTACCGAATGAGAATAATAAAACAAACACTCATGAAAAAAAAAGATCTAAACTGAATGATTGCATATGAACTGGCCATAGTTAAAATGTGTGTATTAAAGTAGCCACAAAGTAAAGGAAGAACCGTATGAAGATTACCTGGTGTGTTGATGGATGTTTGACCAAAAATATTAGGATTGTGTAGTGCATCCTGTTATTGCAGGCTGTGCATGCCGCTAGAGAAGCGTTCGAGAAGTGGTCCTTGGAAACAACTCCAAAAGAACGCGGGGCCATACTGAGAAAATGGTATGACCTTCTCGTCGCGAAGGAGGGAGAGTTGGCTGAGCTTTTAACTCTCGAGCAAGTCTGTGTGACCTGTTTTCCGTAAATAAAACTGTCATTCGAAATTTGCAGGGTAAACCATTGATTGAAGCACGTGGAGAAATCAAATACTCAGCCAGCTTTCTGGACTGGTTTTCTGGAGAAGCAAGACGTATCTACGGACAGGTAAGTTCCAAGTAATATGTACATGCGTATCTTCACTTCTTTGAGGTTGTTGTTCCTGCGGTACTCAATAGGGAGCATATCCATATACGGGAGCCGATTGGCGTGGCTGCATTCATAACCCCAGTAAGTGCAATACTATGTGCTTCTATTCATTCTCAATAGACAGATTCCTACGCATTTAACTCGAATTTCGTCTTTTTATTTCTAGTGGAACTTTCCCACGGCAATGATCGCACGCAAGGCTGGAGCAGCCTTGGCAGCTGGTTGCACAATTGTAGTGAAGCCAGCTGAGGACACGCCGCTCAGCGCCCTCGCTCTAGCACAGGTTTCTTGCTAATTAGCACAGAATCTTTCTATATAAAATGTTGTTTAGACAGCTGAGGAAGCAGGAGTCCCTTCAGGAGTGTTCAATGTCATCACTGCCGATCGCAAACGAACAGCAGAAATCTCGAAGTACATTTGCGAAAGCACCGACGTGGACGTAATCAGTTTTACAGGAAGCACTGCCGTGGGAAAGGTTAGTAGACTTCTGCTCTCTATCTCCTTTTGATTTTTTTTTCTTGAAACGTTAGGCGCCTTGTGATGCACGGATATGGGATAGTCCTTCGCGACGACAAACCTATCATACAGTGGTTTAATGTCCACGTAACACGTCGCAATACCCCGAACAATATTTCTTATGGGTTGTTTCGATTTCTTCAGCTTTTTATGTCATTTCGCACTCAACGGTCATTCCCTATTTATGTTATTAGGTTGTCCGGAAATTAATGCAGGTTTTGAATTCCAACAGCGATAAGTCATACACTTCTCATTTTTAAGTAGGTTGCAGGATACCATTCGATAGAGCAAAGCAAGCTCTACAAGATGGCTGTCTTGCTTTAGCAATAGCTCTGATCCACCACGAGTTTCGAGCCAAAAACTAAAAAGATTTAACTGCCCAAAAAATTAAGAAAAATCGTAACTCAGTTCATCAAAATCCTACAAAAATTCTAACTTGCTCACGTAAACACGATCCAGATAGGGCATCTATCCACGCCGTTGCCGTATTTTTCTCTGTTAGAAATCAAAAAACGGAAATTTTCGTGCATTTGCCAAAGTGATGCTGTGCGGTTTCCACATACATGCTGTATACTACAAACCTATAGAAGTACAAACGTAAATTTTCAACTCTCTACAAGCTTTAGTTCTCGAGAAATTTGAACTTTAGCTTGGACCACATGACTAGGGAACTGTATTCGATATTTCTCGAGAATTAAAGCTTGTAGAGGGCTGAAAATTTACGTTTGTACTTCCACAGGTTTGTAGTATACAACTACGTATGTGGAAACGGCACAGCATCACTTTGGCAAATGCACGAAAATTTCCGTTTTTTTTGATTTCTAACAGAGAAAAAAATACGGCAACGGCGTGGATAGTTGCCCTATGTGGATCGTGTTTACGTGAGCAAGTTAGAATTTTTGTAGGATTTTTATGAACTGAGTTACGATTTTTCTTAATTTTTTGGGCAGTTGCATCTTTTTAGTTTTTGACTCGAAACTCGTGGTGGATCAGAGCTGTTGCTAAAGCAAGATAGCCGTTTTGTAGACCTTGCTTTATTCTATCGAATGGTGTCTTGCAACCTACATAGAAATGAAAAGTGTATGACTTATTGCGGTTGGAATTCGAAACCTGCATTAATTTCCGGACAACCTAATACTTCTGCATATCGCAGATCCAAGAATTACCACTGGATTGAAATTCCCTATTTATGTTACTTCTGCATAACGCAGATCCAAGAATTACCATTGAATTGAAATTATATGGGAATGGCAGAGTTTTTGGATCTTGCGTACGATTTTTTTTTTGCAGTCGTGTAACCCCCTCCTAAGAATGGGTCGCTAGTTTCCTAGGTTGGTTAAAGAAGTGCATTTTGCATAAACATTTTTATGCTCAAACATGAGTTCATTTATTATGCGTGAACTAACTAGCTTCTTTTGCGGAATGCCTGTGCATATTTTCAATTTTTTCTTCCTGCCCTTTTACAGTTTTCCAAGAGAAACGGAAAAGAGCATTTCATTCTTAAAACTCTAGATACATGATTAATCAAACTGTAAGGTCCGAATTTTTATGACAAGAACTAAGATTGTCAGTTGCAGCACGTTACTTCTTTGTTGCCAATATTCGAGTGTAGGTAAAGGTAGATTCTAATCTTTATTTTTGAAAATGTTTAAGCAGAATGTTTTCATTCAGCTCCTGTTAACGCAGTCGGCCTCTACGGTAAAGCGTGTCTGTCTTGAACTCGGAGGCAGTGCCCCTGTGATTGTTTTTGATTCTGCTGATCTGGATGTCGCTATCAAGGTTAATATTAATTTTTTTTCCTTTGTCAGCGTTCTATCTTGCCACGACTAGCTATTGTATGATTAGCAAACTATAACTTCTAAGCATACATGTTGAGGGATGCATGGCAGCGAAATTCAGGGGATCAGGACAAACTTGTGTGGCCGCAAATCGTTTCTTTGTACAGAAAAAGGTAAATACTCAATTTCCAGTGCCTAGGCATGTGAAAGTAGTGTCGTAGAATTGAATTTCCAGATTCACGATGATTTTATCACAAAAATGACTGTTGCCATGAAAGGGCTTGTAGTTGGAGATGGAATGAATCCAAAGACTACCATAGGACCACTTATCAACGAAGCGGCTGTCAAGAAGGTCAGTAATTCTTGTTTAAAGTAATACTTTGCGATTCGTCTGGTCTAGTACTGCAGAAGTTGAGAAGTAAATAATTTCAGATTACGGATTTGCTCAAGGATGCGGAATCGAAGGGCGCTAAAATTTTGCTGGGTGGAAAACGAGGAAAGGGAACATGCTTCCAGCCTACACTTTTGACCAATGTAACAAAAGATATGGACATAGCGCATACAGAGATTTTCGGTCCAATAGTTGCTGTGAGGAAGTAAGTTATTTAGTTTTTAGTGCTAGTAGTTCCCGTAAAATGTGCGCTGTTATCGATTGCTGAGAGTATCAGTCATTTTAAGATTCAACGACGAAGCGTCGGCCCTAGCTGAAGCAAATGATACCAGAGTGGGGCTGGCGGGTTACATCTTCACCAAGGATGCGGATCAGATATACAGAGTGACACGCCGTCTAAGAGTTGGAATGGTTGGAGTCAACGAAGGTCTGGCAATTGACTTTACGAATATAAGCGTACTCGATAATTACATGCAATTTAGGACTGATATCTTGCGCCGAAGGCGCGTTCGGAGGTGTGAAGGAGAGCGGTCTCGGACGGGAGGGAGCTTCTCAGGGCATTGATGAATTCACGCAATGGAAATATATTTGCACGCAACATTAGGAGCGTGCTTTTTGCCGCACTTATCGGTACCAAATACCCGATATAGACCAATATTGCTGATTGAGCTAACATAGTATTCACTAGTGTGGCAGTCTATTGAATATGCGCCACCATATCATTAGGTTACCAAATGGTTTCGATGTTTTATAACTTCCTTTTCAACAACGGGTCAAGTGTTTTCCGTTATAATGCAATATTAATAATGTAGACCCTATAGTTGCATCTTCGTTTCTATAACTGGGCTAGTCTGATCATCTGTCTAGTTTTGTATTTTTCATTTTGATTTGTAAAGATTCTTTTAGTGCGTAGGGTATTTATGATGACTTGACTCTATCTGAAAAGTTCTGAATTGCTTATGGATCTAACACCTTTTCATCTAGTGGCCATCTTTTGTTACGAGTGTAGTAATAATGTCGAAAAATCGACTTTTGTCTGGAATGCTTTTTGTACCTAGTTTAATAAATAATGTAATTGAGTGGTCGACAAGGTTAATCTGAAATGTTAGGCTACCGAAATGGCAACTCGAGGTCCGCTGCTAGATCAGTATCGTGACACTTCGTATCACTGTGATCGAAAAGTAATAGAGCAGCGGCCTTTCTCTTCGTGGAGTAGTAAGACGTTCGGTGAAAAAAGGTAGTTCATTAAGTATCGGTCCCCCGGAAATGTTTTCAGTGGTACCACGTCTGCCTTTCGCAGTTTTTAACATGCTAATTTTAGCAGTTCAAGGTATTTCCTCAGAGTGAAAATATTAAAACGATGGAAAGCAGCGAGCTGACGTGGTACAGGGCTTATCAATCCCGCAATCGCGGTGGGAAAGTGATCAGAGAGCATGTTTGCGAATGAGACGCAGAGTCCAGCTGAGGCGACCGCGCTGGAGCGGAGTCGTGCACCTGACATTGCAGTTGAGAAGCCCTGTGGATAGGTATCTATGGGAACATTTTTGGAGACAAATCATGTTTCCGAGCAGGGGTTTGTCGCGTTCTGGTTCATCTGAATGTACAGGAATGAACATGATATTTGTGAGCAGCGCAGATGATGGTTTTTGACCCACACCAACTGAGTATCGTTTTCGTACTCGGTATGTTAAATGTCCTTGTCCACCACGTTTTAGCGAATACTGAGATTTCAAATACGTCTCAAAGTGGAACGGAACATAACAACATAAATTGAGCCGCCTACTTTTCACTACGAAACGCTACTCCACTCTACTACGCAACATTCGTCAAACCACAAAATCGCATTGTAATAACCACCATTTGAGACAAAATGAATAATTGCCATCTCCTATCCTCTATAATTTCTTTATTTCTTTTATCTTACAGTAATGCCGGGATACAGTATACGGGATCAGTATTATAGAAACGATAGAGATTGCACAAATTACGGTAATCTTGGCTTCCTGTAAGAAGCCGTTTTCCTTATGGTCGAAATTTTGTTGAGCATGCTAGTAGTGTTGAGATGTGAACCAAAAAAGATCTAGCGACTGCTACCTGAGTGCTTCAATTGTGCCGAAAAAAGCAATCAATCGTTCTCATTATCTAAGCTCTTAGACTAAATCAGAGTTTTCTATCTCTTGTTCGCAGCAGTGGTATCTGGCTATCAGTCGTCCTTTAGCTTGATCTAATCGCTCTTGCAACATCGTTGTTCTCAACTGCAACTCACAGCTGAAAGTTTGCAGTGAAATCGGAAATTAAGATGTGCCACAACGTATTCTGATACCCTAAAATCCCATGGATAAGAGCGGTTTAATTTACCGGTGAAAAATGAGTTGGAATGAAATTGAAATTAAATGCAGTCACCCCTCTAACTTGATGAATGGATAAATAAAAATCGGAGAAGTTCAGAAGAAGCTCCGCCCCTCAACTCTAAACCCCGCCCACTTAATAAACAATTCATATAGATAAATAGCGATTTTAACGGAATTTCGGAATTTCTATATGAATTGTTTATTAAGTGGGCGGGGTCTAGAGTTGAGGGGCGGAGCTTCTTTAAACTTCTTCTCCGATTTTTATTTATCCATCCATCAAGTTAGAGGGGTGACTGCATTCAATTTCAATTTCATTCCAGTTCATTTTTCACCGGTAAATTAAACCGCTCTTATCTATAGGATTTTAGGGTAATCTAATTTCTCGCAATACTCACCTCTTTGCATCTGCACAACAGTGCTCTAGTTCAGTGCACGTTCTCCTGATACTATCTAGAAGTTTATGGCATTCAACTCTTACGCTTTCCGAGCGGTAGTATATGCGGTTGAAAAAACTGTCGAGGGGCTCAGTTGATGGAATTGCGTTCGGACAACGCTTATCCTGTTAAACGCTGAATACTTTTTCTTTTATAAAATCAATCATTCATACCTTTTGTCTCATGTTTTTCCGCAGCTGAACGCTTTGCTCCAAACAACGCTTTCTCAGACTCCGTTGAGTCATTAGCAACTGCTTCAGCTAGAAACCAACTCATAATAATATATCAATTTTCCCGGTTTTAATTTTTGAAGTTGCTGCCAACACTAGAAATTGATGCTACATTAGCTATGGGAACATCACCAACTTAGTAGCCGAGGGCAGCAGGGGAGAACGGAGGCTTTTCTTACTCTGCTTCCTGTAGTTTGGAAGGTGGGTACGAGGTTGCTTGCTGTTTTGTCTTGATAAAAAAACAGCAATTTATCTGCGAAAAATTGGAGCGGGAATTAAGTGAACAAACGCTCAGACCATCGCCGCCGGGTAGAATGTCAATGGAAAATCCTTGCTGTGGAATTGCTCACTCCGCTCGCAGGATCTCAAAAACTATAGATTTCCGCGTTTCCAATGCAGCATGTCCATCTCTTTCTCCTTTGATTTTTCTTGGATAGATCGTTTCGTGGAAATAAAAGATCAACAAGCGACTTTGCAACAGCTCGTGGTAAGTTTTTTTTTTTGAAATCTTGCGAGCGGAGTGCAGAAAATCAGTCATCTTTTTTCTGATGTCCGCCTACCCCCAACGATGTTTGAACGGCTGCAAGAAGCCGTGCACAGTTTTCTACATGCTCGCCAGCGGAGTGCGTAGAGTAATTTTTATTTGCCGTGCCCGCTCCGGGCTAATGTCCAAGGAGCTATCCAGTGGCCGTATTCATCAACGAACCCTGAGGGTTAAATTTACCCCCAGGGTTAGTTTAACCCTCAGGGTTCATTGGCCGTATTCATCAACCACAGGGTAGGGTTTGCCACCGAACGCAATCCACCCGTATCAGGGCCCGGCAGGAGGTGGCATTTCAGAATTTTGAAAACGATATCCTTTTTAAAGCCAAAATTTCTTACGACTTCCCCTTTGACCCTATTTTTGACCCCCGTAAGTCCCTGACAAACAGATATACACAAATAATAAGATGGGCGGCCTCAGCGCTTATTATAGTAGTACTTCCTGGCTTTCCTGGTCCAGCCCGGGTCATCAAGGTTTCAGCTCGATGGGTTCATCCGCAAAGGAATCTATAAAAAAACATAGGGTCAAGATTTGCACAAACTTTGACGTTTATATATCTAAGACTAGCGACCCTACGGGTCGCTAGCAAGTGGGTCAGGGCAGATACAATATAAGGGCTTAGTTGTGACTAAAAATATTTCTGAATAAGTTTTCTGTTCTTTTCCTGAGAACATTTTTGCGAAAAGGATTCTACAAAAGGAAAACTGCTCGAAGAAGCGATAATCTCCACAAATCATACAGCATTTCTCGAAATTCCTGCTACAACCATGCATGATATTATTCTTATCTAGTTTACACGCTCTTTATGCAAATCCCCTCCTCACAGAGACATTCTGATACCCCCCCCCCCCCCCACTTTTCTACCCCCTCAAAGAGAATTTGCTCTTTCACTTCTTCTCAACAAGTTCCATAAAAGTTCGTTAAGTAAGTAGCAGAACATCTATCGCTTTGGAAGTAGAAATACACCATAAGAATTAGTGTACTACAAAAAACACTTTTCTCTCAGAATCAATTTCGACAGCAACGAAATCAATCGTCTAAGAACTTTGTTAAAGAATCCTTATTTTTTCGCTGAAGGAATATGAAGCTTTACTACAAAAGGGAGCCACCTAAAGACCGTCAATCATAAGAACTGCACAAACGCACATGAAATTTCTTTCCCTGTCCGATCAAACTGCCCTACGTGCCGCTTGAAGACCGTTTAAAAATTATAAGGACCGCCCCAAACATTCAAAAATCTGTTTTCCTGCCCGATCGGATTGCCCTAAGTGCCGCTTACAGACCGATAGTAGCTATTCAAAAAGAAGGTTTATTCCCTATGTGCCGCTTGAAGACCGTTTGAAAATTATAAGACCTGCCCCAAACATACAAAAATCTTTCCCTGCCCGATCGGGTTGCCCTACGTGCCGCTTACAGACCGATAGTAACTATTCAAAAATAAAGTTTATTCCCTACGTGCCGCTTGAAGACCGAAAAAAATTACAAGAACTGCCCCAAACATCAAAAAAATCTGTTTCCCTGCCCGATCGGGTTGCCCTACGTGCCGCTTACAGACCGACAGTAACTATTCAAAAATAAAGTTTATTCCCTACGTGCCGCTTGAAGACCGTTTAAAAATTAGAAGAACTGCCCCAAACATACAAAAATCTGTTTCCCTGCCCGATCGGGTTGCCCTACGTGCCGCTTACAGACCGACAGTAACTATTTAAAAATAAAGTTTATTCCCTACGTGCCGCTTGAAGACCGAAAAAATTACAAGAACTGCCCCAAACATCAAAAAAATCTGTTTCCCTGCCCGATCGGGTTGCCCTACGTGCCGCTTATACAAACCAACATTATCTATCTAAAAGACAGTTCATGCCCTACGTGCCGCTTGAAGACCGTTTGAAAATTAGAAGAACTGCCCCAAACATACAAAAATCTGTTTCCCTGCCCGATCGGGTTGCCCTACGTGCCGCTTACAGACCGATAGTAACTATTTAAAAATAAAGTTTATTCCCTACGTGCCGCTTGATAACCGTTTAAAAATTAGAAGAACTGCCCCAAACATACAAAAATCTGTTTCCCTGCCCGATCGGGTTGCCCTACGTGCCGCTTACAAACCAATATTATCTAAAAAGAAGGTTTATTCCCTACGTGCCGCTTGATAACCGTTTAAAAATTAGAAGAACTGCCCCAAACATACAAAAATCTTTCCCTGCCCGATCGGGTTGCCCTACGTGCCGCTTACAGACCGATAGTAACTATTCAAAAATAAAGTTTATTCCCTACGTGCCGCTTGAAGACCGAAAAAAATTACAAGAACTGCCCCAAACATCAAAAAAATCTGTTTCCCTGCCCGATCGGGTTGCCCTACGTGCCGCTTACAGACCGACAGTAACTATTCAAAAATAAAGTTTATTCCCTACGTGCCGCTTGAAGACCGTTTAAAAATTAGAAGAACTGCCCCAAACATACAAAAATCTGTTTCCCTGCCCGATCGGGTTGCCCTACGTGCCGCTTACAGACCGACAGTAACTATTTAAAAATAAAGTTTATTCCCTACGTGCCGCTTGAAGACCGAAAAAATTACAAGAACTGCCCCAAACATCAAAAAAATCTGTTTCCCTGCCCGATCGGGTTGCCCTACGTGCCGCTTATACAAACCAACATTATCTATCTAAAAGACAGTTCATGCCCTACGTGCCGCTTGAAGACCGTTTGAAAATTAGAAGAACTGCCCCAAACATACAAAAATCTGTTTCCCTGCCCGATCGGGTTGCCCTACGTGCCGCTTACAGACCGATAGTAACTATTTAAAAATAAAGTTTATTCCCTACGTGCCGCTTGATAACCGTTTAAAAATTAGAAGAACTGCCCCAAACATACAAAAATCTGTTTCCCTGCCCGATCGGGTTGCCCTACGTGCCGCTTACAAACCAATATTATCTAAAAAGAAGGTTTATTCCCTACGTGCCGCTTGATAACCGTTTAAAAATTAGAAGAACTGCCCCAAACATACAAAAATCTGTTTCCCTGCCCGATCGGGTTGCCCTACGTGCCGCTTACAGACCGACAGTAACTATTTAAAAATAAAGTTTATTCCCTACGTGCCGCTTGAAGACCGAAAAAATTACAAGAACTGCCCCAAACATCAAAAAAATCTGTTTCCCTGCCCGATCGGGTTGCCCTACGTGCCGCTTATACAAACCAACATTATCTATCTAAAAAACAGTTCATGCTCTACGTGCCGCTTGAAGACCGTTTAAAAATTAGAAGAACTGCCCCAAACATACAAAAATCTGTTTCCCTGCCCGATCGGGTTGCCCTACGTGCCGCTTACAGACCGATAGTAACTATTTAAAAATAAAGTTTATTCCCTACGTGCCGCTTGATAACCGTTTAAAAATTAGAAGAACTGCCCCAAACATACAAAAATCTGTTTCCCTGCCCGATCGGGTTGCCCTACGTGCCGCTTACAGACCGATAGTAACTATTTAAAAATAAAGTTTATTCCCTACGTGCCGCTTGATAACCGTTTAAAAATTAGAAGAACTGCCCCAAACATACAAAAATCTGTTTCCCTGCCCGATCGGGTTGCCCTACGTGCCGCTTACAAACCAATATTATCTAAAAAGAAGGTTATTCCCTACGTGCCGCTTGATAACCGTTCAAAAATAACAAGAACTGCCCCAAACATACAAAAATCTGTTTCCCTGCCCGATCGGGTTGCCCTACGTGCCGCTTACAGACCGACAGTAACTATTCAAAAATAAAGTTTATTCCCTACGTGCCGCTTGAAGACCGTTTAAAAATTAGAAGAACTGCCCCAAACATACAAAAATCTGTTTCCCTGCCCGATCGGGTTGCCCTACGTGCCGCTTACAGACCGACAGTAACTATTTAAAAATAAAGTTTATTCCCTACGTGCCGCTTGAAGACCGAAAAAATTACAAGAACTGCCCCAAACATCAAAAAAATCTGTTTCCCTGCCCGATCGGGTTGCCCTACGTGCCGCTTATACAAACCAACATTATCTATCTAAAAGACAGTTCATGCCCTACGTGCCGCTTGAAGACCGTTTGAAAATTAGAAGAACTGCCCCAAACATACAAAAATCTGTTTCCCTGCCCGATCGGGTTGCCCTACGTGCCGCTTACAGACCGATAGTAACTATTTAAAAATAAAGTTTATTCCCTACGTGCCGCTTGATAACCGTTTAAAAATTAGAAGAACTGCCCCAAACATACAAAAATCTGTTTCCCTGCCCGATCGGGTTGCCCTACGTGCCGCTTACAAACCAATATTATCTAAAAAGAAGGTTTATTCCCTACGTGCCGCTTGATAACCGTTTAAAAATTAGAAGAACTGCCCCAAACATACAAAAATCTGTTTCCCTGCCCGATCGGGTTGCCCTACGTGCCGCTTACAGACCGACAGTAACTATTTAAAAATAAAGTTTATTCCCTACGTGCCGCTTGATAACCGTTTAAAAATTAGAAGAACT